GAGGCGATTGCCAAAGCGGAGGAAGACCCACACGGGCTGGCTCCTGCGGCCGGAGGCGACAGGTCCGGCAAGCTGCTCTGCGACTGCACCGACCGGTTGCTGCCGAATTGCCGGGACGACGTGCCCAGTCGGTAGCCTCCGCCGCCCCCCGATGTGAGCCGATCGAGGCCGAAGTCGCTGATCTTTGGCTCCATGTCTGCGTCCAACAGTATGTTGCTTGGTTTCATGTTGCCATGTACGGCCTTCTTCTCGTGGAGGTATGCGAGCCCGCGCGCCACTCCTCTCGCTATTCTGAGCCGCGATTCCCAGCTGAGATGAAACGGCGACGAGCCGAGCTTCTCTGAGAATGATGATTGCACCATGTTGAGTACACCGAGTTGGTGGGTCATGTAGTGTCGAGGAACAGATCGAGAGGAATGGTCGTGGGGCTTACTGGTAAACGAGATGTTGGCTATGCTGCCATTGGGGGCATAGTCATGGATGAGGAGCTTCTCGTCGGCGCCCCAGTAGAATCCCCGCAAGCGGAGGAGGTTGGGGTGGCGGAACCTGGCGATGCCGCGGACCTGCGCATCGAAGTCCTTCAGCTTGTCGATGACACTGCTCTCGCCGATTCGTCGGACGGCCAGGGCGGTGCCGTCGGCAAGCACCGCCCTGTAGACGATGCTGGACCCGGTGGCGCCGAGTATGTAGGCCGAGGCCTTGAGCAGAGTCTCCAGCTCCAGCTCCGTGTCGCCGTCGACGGTGACAAGAGTGGCCTCCTGTTGCTTCTGCTGGGTTGGTGTTCTGCCGCCACCCTCGTCCTTGCCTCCCTTCTGCTGTGCTTCCTCGTCTGCTTCCGTTTCGGAGGAGGCCGAGGACTCCGACGTCTCTTCGCTGTCGTCTTCTTCGTCGCCCTTCTTCCTTAAACAGCAAGAGAGCCCACCAAAGCCTTTGGATTTGGAGGACGTTGGTGGCTGTTCCTTCGTCCCGCCAATGGCTCCGACTCGTTTCATCTGCTGATGCTGCAGTCTATTCCTCTTCTTCACTTGGAATACATAGTAAAACACTGCGAAGAGAATTCCGATTCCGATGACATCTCCGACGGCTATCGCGATAATTGCAGCCGGTCGAAGGCCTCCCTGCCCGTGCCCGCTGTCGGACGGGGAAGTCCCCACGGCCGCGTTCTTGGGCATCGCCGCAAAGGCCGGAGGAGACTCGGAAAGCGTGGAAGGAATCGAGCAGAGATTCTCGAGCGGCTTCCCGCAAAGATCAGGATTCCCGGCAAACGCTGTCGGTTTCTGCGAGGCGAAAGCTTCGGTCTGTGGGATCTCTCCGGTGAGATCATTGAATGCGAGGTCCACAGTGGCATTGGCTGGAATTATCGACGTCAATTCCCGCGGGATCGCGCCGGCGATCCGGTTGTGAGACAAGTTCATGTACCGGACCATTTTCCCGCCGAGATCCGGCGGCAGAGAACCATTGATGAGGTTGGAACTCAAGTCCAGGTACTCCACCACGCCCAACCCGCCTCCCGGGAGCTCGCCGGAGAGGTAATTACCGGCGAGGGCGACGACGGTGAGGTTCGGAAGAAGAGCCAGACCGGCCGGCACTGCGCCCACCAACGCGTTGCCGGAGAGATTCAGCACCTGGAGGCCGTTCATGCGGCCGTCGAGCTCAAGGAGCTCGCCGGAAATCGCGTTGTCGGCCAACGACAACACCTGCAGCTCCGACGCGTTGAAGATGGAGGGTGGGAGGGTGCCGTTGAGGGCGTTCCCGGAGAGGTCGAGGTGGCGGAGGTGCTCGACGAGGCCAAGCTCCGGCGGAATGCTGCCCACGAGCTGGGAATCGGGAAGAACCAAGCCTATCACCCTGGAAGTGGTTGATGCCTGAGCACCAGTGCTTTCCTCCGGCAAGCCCATGCACACGACCCCATTCCATGAACACGGCGAAGCATCGTCATAGTTCCAGTCCCCGAGTGCGGTGAGGGGGTCGGAGAGGACGGAGTACTTGAACTGTAGCAGCAGCACTCCGTCCTGGTTCAGACCCAACACCAGCTCAAACAGCAGCAGGACAGAAGACAGCAACAAGGAACAGCGTCCGATGCTTCTTGGGCTCATGTTGGTGCCTTGACGTAGCTCATGTCTCAGTGGGTAGAAGAATAAGAGGAGGAGGAGGAGCAGGGGGAAGGTGGTGTAGGAATACCTGCTACCTTCTTCCTGAGAGAGAGAGAGAGAGAGAGAGAGAGAGAGAGAGAGAGTAGCTCAACAGATCATTGCATAAAGAAAGGATAAGCTAAGCCAAGAGGAAACATGCAACACAACGGAGAGGAGTGGTCAAGGAGAATCAATCAACCAGGGTGGAAAGGGGAAAAGCCCTGATGCTTTTGGTGTCAACCCAAACAGCACTTGCTGCTTTTGAGCTCCTCTCTTCCATTTGCCAACACTACCGCACACCTCAACTCAGATTGAGGGAGAGAGAAAGAGAGAGGAGGAAGAAGAAGGGGAGGAGAAGGAATCTTTGGCTTCGGAAAGAGGACGCTAAGTTGAGGACTGAGATCCGGTGAATTGCTACTTAAACTAATATGTAGTGTATGTGCTCTGCTCTGCTCTTCTCATGTGCTTCCAAGCTGAGAGAATCTATCAGAAACCAGTGTCATTTTAGCTGCAGATGGTGCTGCATGGAGTTCTTAGGACAGTATAATATCTTCATCATAATTGAGGATTGATTATAACTTATCTTCTGGCGGGATTGTAGTTAGTGAGACCACTGCATTTATTCCATGAGAAGAAGTCTCACCAAATCCATGCATTATGGTGATGAACTATGCAGTCATCCATTCTTAGTACAGCCACATAGTGAAAGGACTAAGAAATGAACTCTAAAAACTGCTATCTTTGAGGTACTGTTGAAGGTGAAGTATTGGAATATGAGACATGATTAGGCAACCTGAAGCAGAAACTACACCCTTTTAGGTGGCTGGCCATCCTAAGCCACCTGTAACAGCTACTGCACTTCATCTTCTCCACTGTACTGCACCTGCATGGTCCTGCAAAATGGAAAGCCAATCAGGAATAATGAAGGATAAAAAATTGCATTTTGATGTGACAAAGAGGCAAACAATTATCAGGATCTTTTCCCTTACCACCCCCCCTCTCTCTCTCTCTCTCGCTCTGCAGTAGTGATCTCTTCAGGCCCACCAGCACTGAACTTGATGTTTTGCTCTCTGCAGGACATGGAAAACCATTTTACTTAAATGGGCATATTTCCTGCTTGCAGGCTCTTCATTATTTTTCATGCAACATCACCATCTCAAGTTGCTTTCAATACCTAATCCAATTCAATTATTTCAAAGGCAGCTACAGATTGGTGGGTCTAATCTCTTGCAATTCCATTGTCATCTGTCCACTATCAGCTGTTCCTAACAACAATTATGGATGTGCCACTTCCATATTTTTCTTCTGTAATGACATATCCACCTCCATTCTGTAATGCATCTGACTTGTGTGTCTTCAGCAGGTGATAGATACTCTCCTACTGAGAATCTTGTGACATGCAATAGGAGATGAACAATGAGAACTATTTGTGAGGTTTTCTAAGTGAAATATATTTCAGTTTCTTTTAAATGTTTGAGCACATTGAATAATATTATTTTTTGAGGAGGAAAAACATTTAGATATCTGAATGCATTTATGCCCTGTCAATCTGTTGTCTTCACTGAATGATGATGTCTTCTAGCAGTAGGCTTTGCATGTTGCATTAAATCTTTGACATTAATTCTGACGTGAGAAAATAAAACAACTCTAAACAAATAAAAATTGACACATGGAATGAACAGATACATAAGATGTCAACTCGACAGAGTCCATAGAAACTCACATCATTCACCTTTATCTACAAGTAGTGTAGAAAGAACAGAGGACAATCCAAGAGAAACTTTGTTTGCACCAAACAAAAGCCGATTCATTGACCGGCCTGCTGGGAATCAAATGGCCAAAGATTAATGTTCTTGGCTTCCTTCTGGTGGGTGTGTGCCTACCTACGCATTTAGTATTGACAGGAGCAGTAAAGAGAGCTCTTCAATACTGCATCTGCATCAGAGATAACTTTATGGTCAACCAAGGCGAGCTACCGCCCACCTAACTCATACTTCATTTCACACCAACCTCATGAATCAGAATATAATGTAAGAAACAGTTATCAAAATAAGTTTTTTTGGGTGTTTTTTTTATCATAAGGAAGCTTGGATTTTGTACGTGAGGAGTTGACTTGAGTGTGTCTGAGTAGTCATGTCACCGTAAAAAAAAATTTACGAAAGTGAAATATTCTATTTATCCTAATATTATCGATTTTACTAATAAAAATATAAAAAAAATAATCTTAATGTTCTGGTTAGTAATGATGACGAGATATGAAGACCGTTCTATATCTGCATGGATGATCCTTTCGTCACTTTGCATTTGAGTTAGTACCGACGCAATTGCTGAACAACTCCACCATCAACATTCAAATCCATCTCATTAGGATTTAAATTTAGAACAATTTATTTATATTCAATCGGGTTAGAATCATCGGTTTCCTTCTAATTTTTAAGAATAAGAAACAAACCATAAGGCCTTGATTTTTTAAATTAATTTCTATCACAATTTTATGAATATAAGCCTTGATTTAAGAGAATAATTACTTACAATAGGAAAATAAACTAACCTCAAATAAAAAAAAATGGACACGTGGAATCTAGAGTGACGAAGGATACACACCCAGTAAGATTTATCATATCAAAATGAAAAATACTATATCAAGATGAAAACTATTCTCCCGAATCTTTAACTCTATATAAAATGGGCCTCCTAGTAGCGTAATCAATACGAAGTTTTCTCTGTAACCTTTATGATGTCCTCCAAAGAAAAAAAGCTCTCGTCCTCCTGACGATCTCAATCTGACATTGACAAGACGCCCAATAACCTCTCCTTGAAGAACATTTTCTGCCCCGATGGGTTGAAGAACATTTTCTGCCCCGATAGATTCTCTTTTTGTTTCACAAAAGAAAAGAGTTAGTGCAACAACAGAGAAAGAGTAGCGAAGTCTTCATGCTCGGACGCAACTCTCCTCACGCCCGTGTGAGCCGCGCCGCATCTTGGTCGGACTGGAGGGAACTCCCGCCGTGGCGAATGACCCCACAGACGCGGCTTTTATTCGCCGTCGTACTCCTCGGCGAGTGCAAGCATATTCCTGCGTCACCGTCCTCGTTTGTCAACTAGCAACCACAAGGCAATAAAAGACCAGGTTTACTCCTCTCTCTCTCTCTCTCTCTGCCGACACAGCCATTCCACAGCAATCATACATAGTTGCAGCATTATCATTTCCACCATAGCAAGCATACGGACATGTTGCCTGTGATCAGAAATGGCTGTGTGTGCTTGCATCAATTTCCATCAACGAGAAGTTTTATATCACCATCAGAAAAGATTGGATTAGATAATTATGCTCCTTACCTTCGATCAATCCTCGGGCGCAAAGCCAAAGTCCTTTGTGTTGGTAGCTGAGTGTACAATTGGAGAGCAATAATCCTGCCACATAAAATGTAGTTGATTTAGTCAAATAAAATTTCCAAGATATGTGATCTCAACATATCTACTAATTACTTATTAGTAGTGTCTATTAAATACTCGGGAGAAACGCTAATGTAGTGATTGGTGGTCATAATACTACCATTCTAAAAATGATTAAAGTATGTATTAATTAGTGTGTCGTCTGAATACTACAAGACGTTTCAAGTAGAAGCAGATGCAATTAATTGTTAATGCATGTTCAAATCAAGTCTTTTAGGGTATGTTCAAAGTGCTTTGAATTTAGAATTTATGCTTCCAAAACCATGATTTCTTTATGCTAGTTCCCTTGTCACTGTGTGCTCCGTGGCGACCAATGAGACTCTTTAGAAGATGATCTATGTGCAATCAAAAGTAGACAAAGTTAGTCTATCACTTGGTGTTAATCTTGTACAACACTCATGCACAATCTAAAAGTTGTGATAAAGCATCAAAAAAGATGAGATAAGGTTTGCACATTCCTAAAACATGGTAAATTGCATTAACTTTGTTTGATGCCATAGATCTACCTCAAAAGCATATCTTGTAAGCAAAGAAATGTTTACACATGGTGATACCTTTCTGGGGTTGCATCACATGCTTCTGGCATCATTGATTCCATATTTGTGGCCTTGGTATCTCCCTTTTAGCTGGACCTCTGTCCTGTTGATAAGTAAAAATATTCCATCAGCAGATCAAAGTACTAACAATAGATTTTTCATCCATGATATGATTCCTTTCTTTCCTTCATGCATACTGAAAGAGAATCTGAGGGCTAACTAAAGCAGCATAAAACAGGGCCCTGAAAGGTCATTCAACATTAAGTGAACCAAGCAAGAAGAACAACAGAAGAGTCATGGAAATAACATAAACAAAGAAGAAAAGGTTTATACTTTGGATCAAAGATCCATAAGATTCCGTGGACAGAAACGAACTGTAGCAGGGTTCATGGAGGCAAGCTTCTACCCACCATTAAAACACCAGTGTAAGAATTCAAACAATTTCCTGACTTAAGCATGAAGATAGCAAACGAGGATTGAGTTACTCTTGCCAAATGTTATACAGGAAGGATTCTTATAGTCTGAAAAGAATAGTTTATTAAAATAAAAATAAAAGTTATCTGGATTAATTTTCGTGTCTTCAATTTTGTCTTAACTTATCTATTTCTTCTACAATTTACATATCTAAGAGTTCAAAAACTTTTTGAAAACATACAATCTTTATGCAAAACACAGCCAAAGGTTTCATATATCCAAAATAGGATGTACTACACAATCGTCACTTTGTCATCTTTACTTTCTGCAACTAACAATTCGGACAAGATATCCAAAAGAAAGATCAACAAATTGGAAAGCTGGAACACATTTGACCCAGTTAATGCTGGAACTTGAACAGGAACTTCAAACTTTAGAAGTTTGCATTGTGTTACAACAAAGTTGTACTATTCATTCAATCATCACAATTATATACATGAAGTATCTATGTGCCATACACATTAGCCTTAACATTTTAGCCTACAAATTGAATGAGAACAGTAGTTAACACAAGAAATCAACCTACGTTGCGATAACGATTTTACGGAGTGCCAACAGGACTTCAAGGAGCGCGCGGATTCGGTGCCATAGGATCCGAATCCGATCTAGGGTTTGGCGGGGGTGAGGGTTTGCAGGAGGATCGAGGTGGGGGGAAGATGAAGATGCGACAGAAGTGGAGTGGAACGATCTCCTTCTCATGGCGGTGAGGGTGGGCGCACGGAAAGAGCCGGGAAATGGGGAGGATCGAATAGGGTTTCCATTTGGGAGATCGGCAAGAATAAGAAGAAGAAGATGAAGGGAGACGACGAAGAAGAAGAGTGGGGGTCAGTTAAGAGACGGGTATAGTTCGAGTCCTCCACCTAGCACATCATGGCCGTCCACTAAGATTACTGATGCGAGAACGGTTCGATCATATTTCATGTCTATAGTGATTGGAGCGGATCCGATCCCAAATGTATCGGGGGGCGGAGTGTGGTAACCTGCTCCCGAAGGAAAACGCAGTGAGCGCAAGGGCCGATGGTCATTGGCCCAAATATTCGGCCCCCACAAGATCCACATCAGCTGCGTGGGTCGTGCCCGATGGCGTGAGGCAAACGGAGACTGTCTCCTGTTGGTATAGATGCAGATGAGTCAAGAGGCACTCCCTGGGCCACGTGTGAGCTTCGGATTCCGGAGCAAACGGTTTCGGTTGCTATTTTTTTTTATTAAAAATAATTTAAAATAATAAAAAAAATATAAATTTATTTTAAAATTTGATCGTAATATCTCTTTGAAAAATGATTAGAGACATTCGGATTTTTTTTATTTGAGACTCATATTTTGTAATTGGCTCATTATGTCGACTCAAATATTTTACAATTGAATCATTATCTCGACTCAAATACTCTCAAACTATTGATGAAAGAGGCATTGATCGATTTATCTTTTTTTTTTTTTAATTTAGAACCATTGATAACCCAAAACTTATTTTGATTCAGTCTAAAATCGACAAATCATAAAGCCAATTCAATTCTAGTTCAATCTGATTGTATTCCAATTTAAATTTGAATTGAATCGAAACCGCAAATGGGATCCACTAGACATGAGCAAGCTGCAATGATCTCTGCAGCATGTTAAACATGAGACTGTACTTAAAATGAAATTTTGATCAACCATTGCAATTTGGGAGATGAGAAAGGAGCATAGTTTCTGTTATAGTTATGGATGCATGATCGGTAGAAGCTAAAACCAGGGAAGGATATATGGTGCATCAGTTTCTTGAATAACAATTCTGGAAAACTTGGCCTCATCAAAGGCTTTTCTTTCAACTATCAAAAAAGAAGCAATCAGTCAGGAGCACAACCTTGTATTGTAATACACCAACATTGGTGAATGGTTTCAGTGAGTTTTCAAAGTGACATATTTCAGCATCTCAGCTACAGCTGTCCACAAGATCAAAAGAGCAATAAGGTTTTGTTCTACAGCTCTGGAAAATCATAAGGGACTACTTTAAAGCATTTTGATCAATTACATCTGTGTTCATCAAAATGATTACAGCTGCTACTGCAAAATCATCACTCCATTTGGTCATCAGATCACGAACATCTGAGGGTTCATAGCGCAGAAAGAAAGGATTAAGAGATCACTATCTCATCCATATGAAAGATCCAGGCAACTCTTGGGAATGACAACAGATGTTACAAATGTGTCCGGTAGAATAAAACCTTCAGCTACGTTTGAAATGCTCACGAATGAACTTTTCCGCGTGTGATGGATACTTGCGTTTGACGTATGCTCGAAGACACTTCTGGTATGAAAAGTCTATCCAGCCACCATCAGTTCGTACAACAAAGAGGCATCTTGAGTTTCCGAATTGTGGATGTCGATCGACCTTCATGAAAACTGCTGTTAAGCTTCAGCATTTGCAAGAGAGGTGTACTACCGTCTAGAAAGAGTGGTGACCAGAAATTTTTTTTTTTTCTATCTTGCATTCTGATCTTCAAGACGATGGCTGTGTCAGATTAGTTAAGTAATATATTCCTTTTTTTCTTCAAAAAAAAGCCTACAGTATTTGTCATAATATTGTTATAACACATCTATCTTGACTGATCATAATCTATAAATACATTAAAAGAAACTCAAAAGCAATATAAACATATGAGAAACTGATTTACTAGTAAAAGGGATTAAAGCAATTAAGAAAGCTCAAATACAAACAAGAACGAGATTATCTAGCAAAGGGGACTAAGAAACCAAACAAATACCAAGTGACCGAAACCTCGAGCCAACTAATAAAACAGTAAGGTCTGTAGCTGAAGTTGAATCACAATGCTGTGCGACAAGAGAAGAACAAAAGAATTGTTTTGGAAAAAAAATGTTGCAAATCTGAATTTAAAGGCTGACAAAAATCACACATGCTTACATAATGATGATGAATCTCTATCATGAACTACACGATCATCATGTCCTATAACAAAGAATCAAGACCTGGTCTCAAATCAAACTGAAAAGTAAATAACAAAATTAACAACATGATGGTTTTGTTAAATTCTTGTGCAGTCATGATATAGATATTTTTGCTGACTGTGTACTAATGAAATTGTTAATTGCAATTTGTGGGGGTTTTTACTATTCATGCCACAATTCACACGCAGCTTAATATGGAAGGTTCGTCCTAACTTCACATTGTAGCTCACTGATACAGGATCAGAAGTACCATCATCTCTATTAATATATGTACTGTGCAATGTTCAATCAGAGGCAACTGCTATATCTCGTACATTTGATTAAAGTTTTTTGAACAAATCAGAATTAGTAGAATCTATGATAATATCATATGATAAGAAGAATCATATTTTCATATTTTGTACAAATAGAGATTGACCTAAAACAATAAGAACAGAGATAAAAAAATCATATTGGTGGAAATTGTGGGAACTATTGTGGTGAATGTAAGTATAAACAAGGAGAGAACATATGCAACATTCATAAACAGGTTGTACGTTACCATTATAGAATCAAGACCACAACCAATCTTATCTTCTGAATGAGGATGATAAGTGAGAAGTTTTTCTATGACTTCCTTTTCATCTTCAGCGCTCAAACGCTCCCCATCCCCGTATCTGCAGGGCACTAATTTTGTAAGGGGTAAAATAGTATTTTAAAAGCATCATGTAAGCTCAAACAAGTTGGTAGGAGAAACAATAGCAACCAAGACAATGACATTGTCCTTACCTTGACAGTCCCAGAAATTATAAAGAGAGACGAGATTATAACTATATGCAACAAAATGCAGCAGACTTCTAATTGTCAGTATGCAAGTATATACCCACTAATGAAAAAGCTTTGGTAGCACAGACCAAAAATAGACCTAACTTAAGATTTTGTTAAGTGGTTAGTGGATGTGCATATCTGCCTTATATAGAGATCAATAGCAGTGATTCCAAATGGCTATTGTTCTTGAGATGTGCATATTTCAAGTAGCCAAGTGTCGCAATCTGGTTGACTGATGATAGGAAGAAGAATCCCTCAGAAGATAGCAATTTTCATTCCTTCAAGTTGGTTTCTATTTCTCAAGAGCTACCACATTCAACAATGGATGCTTCGGTTGACACCATCTCAAGAAATTTTGGAGCATGGTTCTAGACATTCATTCTCCCATAGTGGCACAATCAACTCCCATAAGCAAACAAATCAACAATAATCCAACTGTTCCATGATCAAAATGAGATTCATTAAATGCTCTAGCAAGTGTGTGCCTCCTAAAAGAAAGTCACCTTTTTTTTTAATTTGTCCAACTAAGTTTTGGTTATTTCCCTCCATATAAGGCTTCTCTTGAAGAGAAAAAAACCTACTCTTGTTACAGTTGGCATCCAAAGACAAAGTAAAGTCATTCCAAAAAGTGATGAAAACTAAAATTTTTAACTAAGCCTAGCATGCCAAGTTTGACACCTCACTCTGAAATTATTTGTTCATTGTCTTTCCTGGTAATGACAGGATGAGCTTCTTAAACCTAGTTAAAGTTTTCCACAAACTTGTTTGCCAGTAATTCTTATAGGTTTCCTCATTTTATTGCAAAAAGTAATTTTTAAACCAAACTTTGCATGCCAAATTGAACGTCTAACTCTGGAAGTATTTGTTCATCAAATTTTCCCTTTAGTGGCATGATGGGATTCTTAAAACTTGTTAGAGTTCTTCAGAAATTTGTTTGGTTAATCATTCTAATGGGTTTTCTCATTTTATAACTTCATATTGTTGATAAAGCTAAGAGAAATTATCTCATAATTCTTGCTGTTTAAATTGTTTCCTTTCTGATGTGTGTTTCAATGGCCAATGAATTGTTAACCAGATTGAACAAATGGCTAATCCTACTTTTGTCGTCTGTCCAGTTTGTCCCTTTTTAGACACATTCCTGAATCTTGAGTACAACCATTTGGTTCAGAAATTCCTCTCGCTATTTCTGTTCATCAACTGAACATCCTTGGCCGTACAAAACAAGTGTCAAAATCTTTTGGAATTCTAGTACTCTGATGAAATGGATGGTCAACTCATTCCTTTGACCACAAAGTTAACTGCTCATAAGACACAGTTCTCAAAGAGGTACTGTTCAAAAGTTATGCATCACTATTCATAAGTTAACTGTTGAGTCTTAACGACATAAGCTGACTCAAAACCCAAAGTACCGAAACAGCCTGGAAAATACTAGTTGATAGACATTGGTTACCAATTTGTATGGTTAGAAAAGAATGGTTTACCAAGCTAAACTGAGCTATATGGTCTATTACCAGTAAACATCAGTTGGTACAAATCAATCACCAGTCCAACCAGTATTTTTCAACCATCTTATTAGTTCTGCAGAAAGGTTTTGTCTTTTTATGAATTATTTCTAGCACTAAAATCAAGACTTTACAACCAAAAATCATCTCACTCGCAATAGTCATTGCCGACTAGTGCAAGCAACAAACAAATTGGACTCTGCTGGATCACCTTTCAAAACTATGAGTAACCAATTTACATAAGATTCTTAAGTGTCATGCCAACATCTCCATTTCACAAATTAAGTTCATCAGAACACAAACAATTGGAATCAACAATCTCTCGAACATAAAGTGTGCAAAGCTTAAGACAAGATCGTCTCATTCAAACCTAATATTTCACTCTAACCCTACAAATGGTGACTACAAAATCAAATGCACCATAACAAACCGGGGACTCCTGAGTAGCAAAATTAAAGAGTTGATTTTGGAGATCAATTCATTGTCCACAGAGCCTGTGTATGTATAATATCAGTTTCTTTTATTGGTTTCTACCTACTGGCAATGAGCAAAATATCAAGAGAAAAAAAATGAAGTTTTACACGAAAAACAAGATACCTATCGGAGTGAAGAATCTCCTTGGTGAGGATCCTGATGGGCTCGATGTCCTTAAGGATCTCCTCCTCCTTATCCTTCCATCGCCTGTACTCTGGCTGCTCCTCCCACGGCACCCCCTGCATATACAGCGGCGCAACTGGCCCTTTAGGGCCGCCAGACGTGGCCGGGGCACCCTCACCGGCGGACGCAGCGGCCGGGGGCGAGACGAACTCGTCGGTCGAAACGAGGCCCGAGGCGAAGCGCCGGGGCAGGGCCGCCGCGGTCGCGCGCAGGACTCGGGCGCGCAGCGGGGCGCCCCGCATGAGAAGGAGAGCGGCGGCGGAGGAAGCCATTAAGCAGTGAGCGAGATCGCAGTGGCTGTGGCAGGCAGCAGAAGGGGAATCCCAAAGTTTGGGTGCGGAGCTATTATACTTATAACGGGTCGGGTTTGGATGTATGCATTTTGGTCCACCCGGATCCGAACCATCTCTAAACTACTGTGGTTGCGGGTGAAGCGATCAGAGCCATCCGATGATAGCCAAACTATGGAGTCTTAAAGTCCGATTAACAGATATTAATATACAAATTTTTGGGGATTTTTCATTAAAAAAATATTCTTTTTTAGTTTTTTTTTCATAAGATACGTCAGCTTTTAATTTTCCCATGTGGTATATTTGTAACCGGTATCGTCGGTTACATTATCTTTCTCGTCCTTCTTTTCCAATTTTTTTGACTTGTCTCATTTATTTCTTCATTATCATCGAAAAGTTAACTTACAAAAATAAGCAACTTGAGACTTGCATTTGCATTATCAATGGCACTCACGATGATGATATCATTACCTCGACGTTTGTTCATGCCCACTTTGAAAGGATGATATGAGAGATCCATGAGATGTCGCAATGGGATGAAAATAGTGATACCTTGTCTTCCTCTACGTCGTTTTTGCTTTGATTCGAGCCCAGCACTTTCTCTTATACCCTTAACAAGCAAGAGTCATTGATCAAGGCATCATGACTCCTCGTCCGATTACAGTCATCAAAAATTTATCTGACCAAATCCTATCGACGAGTATAGAAAAAATACGAAGGAGAGGATAAGTGAAGAGGTGGAAGTGATGGTTAACAACACTCATGCCCACCTAAAATAGGAGGAGGTGATGAAGATTGACACTCAAAATATTAGAGAAACAAATATCAAATGAAAAAAATTAAAAACTCAAATACCTTCAGAAAAATCCAAGCTTTTTCAAAAAAATCACCCAAAAAAGAATTTAATAACAAATGAAAAAATTACTCATAAATTTGATTATTTTTATTTTCAAACTTGACTTACTTAGGTACCTATTTATCTTAATATATCCACCCTATATTTAATTAAATTAATATTTTGATCCAACTTAGCCTAATGGAGTAAGAAGAGTGTCCAAAATTCCAACTTATTACCATCACAATAATATAATGCAAATCAACGATCAAGTTGATCGATCAATCAATCAATCAATTAATAATTTAGTGATTTGAGATTCAATCAACCACATCACTACTACTAATATTAATTGATTTAAATTTTAAAATTAAATACTTAAAATATATTTAATATTTCAATAATCAACATAAAAATTTAAAATGTAAGTTTTGGTTAATTATCAAATGATAGTCAACAAACGAAGATTAATATTAGTAATATATGTGCATGGTTTTATACTTTTCAAGGAAACATAAATCTCAAATTCCAATTTAAAAGAAAAACACAAAACGATGACTTATTTTAGAAGAATATATATATATATATATATATATATATATATATATAATTCTAAAATGAAAAAAATATATTTATTTATTTATTATACTAAAAATTCTAAAATATATTAAAAAATAACTTTATTTTTTAATAATAAAAATTAAAATTACAGAATTGTTGATTTTAGAATGAGCAATTTCAATTCGAATCGAACCGTGATCAAGATTTATTATTATTATTATTATTATTATTATTATTATTATTATTTTGTTTTGACTATTCTTCTTAGAATAAGTCAAAGTAGGCAACGCATAGAATAAGTCACGGTAGGCAACGCCATGACTAAGTCAAGTTCTTCTTTCTTCCACCGCTTGTTCACAAGACTCGTGCATGCCAATCTCCACAACCATATTGATGTTCTTGAATTGAATTACTAAGTCAAATCTTAGACCATAAGCTCTATTTTGGTTCACCAACAGATGTTTGAAACTACAAATTAGCTCATGACGAAGGAGGAGAAATTACTCTTCCGAATTCGATGTATGTTTTGCTTCGATTCTACTAACAAACACGAAAATAAATGGTAATCGGATCACCAAATATGATAGAGCTTCAATCATCTTAGCATCATCGATCGATAATATTTATTTCCAAGAAGGATAAATTAGTGTTTTGGTATCTCAATCCGATCATCTTGACCTCATCGATGACTAATATTTAATGCACATTACAATGTAACTCTAATTTTATCCAAAAATACTTATTTAATTGGATATCTTTCCTATATTGCTATTGACTTGTCAACCGTATGAATCGACTCAAGTCTTCTCCCATTTCCAATCCTAATCGATGACTTTTCTAACCATCTATGGATTCAATAGTATGATTAGGTTTGTATTGAGCTTGAAAATATTTATTATCCATAGTTCGATTGATTAATAAATTATTTTACAAGTGATAGATCATCAAATTCAAAGAGTTATAGTTTATAGTTTAGAGCCTTAAGTATCTATGAAACATGGAATTTAAATATCAGTGCTACATAAACGAGGATGTTTATATAGATCGAGCCATCAAAATCATGCCATTTTGAAATCATGAAATTGTAGTTTGTCCTCTTCCAAATTTAGATTCATGGAAATTTTAATCATGTTTTATACATAGTAGAGTACTAATATGCTTGTGATGTACTAATATCCATAGTACACTTCAAATTTTTCATGTTGATTGTTTTAAATGAGTTATTGGTACATTCATAAAGAATTCTTTTAATACTTAATACCATAAAGAATTAGGTATATAAACCCATTTTAGGCATAATGGTGGAATAATATTTAGCTTAGTTGATATAATTGAAAAGCATTTGTACACGAAAACATTTTTACAATAATTCCATATTATAAGAATATTAGATTTTAGTGATAGAAAAAAAATAAAAATATTTTAATAAAAATAATTTAATTAAGTATATAACCAATTTATGTAATTGGAACTTAAGATTTTTATTATAGTGATCAGTATGATATTTTATATATAATCATTATTTCCAATTATATATATAATATATCTACAAAATATTTTTTCTTTTTTTTTATTTTTTATTATCTGAAAAAAGGGACTAAGTCTTATATTAGACCAATGCGGAATTGGCATGCGGTCAAAATGCTGATGCTAATCTACTCCATCACATCATGCGCCGCCCTGAAGGATGTCATGTCCATCACCGCCGTCCGTTCGAGTAAGTTCGACGCATGATTGATGCGGTGCCGTTGCTTCTTGTCGCCACTTACGTCACGGCAACGGGCCTATCAAGTCGCGTCTTGAGGTACGACGTGTAGCGGCCGTCGTAAAGGATTTATATATTCACACAAATATGTTTAAATATATCTTGGAATTCAAGGCGACTTTATGGCCTCGATTGAAATCCAATTTGAAGTCCGCTCCTTCCTTCCTGAGTAGAGAGACAGAGAGGTGGAAGAAGCCTTCAGATCCGGACGCCGCCTTCTTCGCCCCACTCCGGCCGCCCTTGATGGGCCAATCGGCATCCACCCCATCCCCCACATCCTTTTCCTCCTCCTCTAGCCGCCGCGTTAAGCCACTCTCATCCTGTTCTTCCGCGGTACCGGCCTCTGCAGCTAAGGAGCTAGCGGTAATGACGAACGGAGACGCCGCCTCGGGGAGCGGTGCCGTTTGTCCGTCAAGGGACCATACCTTGGACCTCCCCGACGAGTGCCTGGCCCTCGTCTTCCAGTCCCTAGGCTCCGGCGACCGGAAGCGGTGCTCGCTGGTGTGCCGGAGGTGGCTCGTCGTCGAGGGTCAGAGCCGCCACCGGCTGGCACTCGACGCCCGGGCCGCCCTCCTGGAGGCCGCGCAGGCCATCTTCTCCCGATTCGACGCCGTCTCCAAGCTCGCTCTCAAGTGCGACCGCCGCGCAGACAGCATCGGCGACGAGGCGATCGCGCTCATCGCCGCCCGGTGCCCCAACCTCACCCGCCTCAAGCTCCGCGCCTGCCGTACCGTCACCGATGCCGGGATGGCAGCCGTCGCCGATCACTGCCCAAGCCTCCGCAAGCTCTCCGTCGGGTCGTGTACGTTCGGCTCCAAGGGCATTGAGGCCGTCGTCCGGGGCTGCGCTCTGTTGGAGGAACTATCAATTAAGCGGCTCCGCGGCCTCCCCGACGCCACCGTCATCGGAAATGTCGTTGTCAAAGCCGCCTCCCTCCGATCTGTCTGTCTGAAAGAGCTCTACAATGGTCAGTGCTTCTCGCGGCTCATCGCCGGATCCTCCAATCTCAAGACCCTAAAGCTCATCCGATGTTCCGGAGACTGGGACAGGCTACTCGAGGATGTTGCCAATAAGGTCCCTGGAATCATCGAGATCCACCTCGAGAAGCTCCAGGTCAGTGATCGTGGCCTTTCCGCGCTCTCCTCCTGTGCCAATCTCGAGATCCTTCACCTTGTAAAGACCCCGGAATGCACTGATGCGGGCCTCTCATCTGTTGCTGAACGTTGCCACCTCCTCCGCAAAGTCCACATCGACGGATGGAAGACCAATCGGATTGGTGATGAAGGTCTCATAGTCATCGCTAAACAGTGCCCTAACCTTCAGGAATTGGTGCTTATTGGAGTTAATCCAACGGCTCGAAGCTTAGGGCTTATAGCGAGCAATTGCCGCAACTTGGAGCGCCTTGCCCTTTGTGGCAGCGAAACCTTTGGGGACGCCGAGATCACATGTATTGCCTCCAAGTGTATGGCTTTAAAGAAGCTCTGTATCAAAGGATGCCCGGTATCTGACCAGGGAATGGAAGCCCTCGTCGGGGGTTGCCCAAAGTTGGTGAAGGTGAAAGTGAAAAAGTGCCGGGGGGTGACGCCAGGATGTGCAGATTGGTTGATGACATGCAGGGATGGGATGCTGGCAGTCAACTTGGACATCACCGGACCGAACGAGCCGCAGGAAGCGAGTGTTGGTGAGAGTAGGATTATTGAGAGTAATGAGCAATTGGTCGATCAGATTGGAGCTGTTGAACTTCTCCCGTCGAGCAGTACCTCTAGGCCGTCGCCATGGAAGACGCGGATGGGTTATTATGCTGGTAGGAACTTTGTCGCCTCTGCTCTCAGAAGATGGTCCCATGGAAGTAGCAACTCCAATCATACATGAAATGAAATGATGTCTTTCTTTTGCTTCTTACATCTGCTAAGTGTTTGAATTTGTATGTCAATTAACTCTTCATGGCTAGGGTTGTTATGTGCTACTATTGCTGCCCATAAGCTGTTTATATTGACTTCTGAAAGTAAACAGTTGGTAGTGTTGCTGTCCGTAGTGTTCCGTTTATCTTTTCTTGTAGATACCCAATGCTTTGCTCTCTCTCTTGATGCTTTTTTCTGCTCATAGACTCACATGGTTATCATTATGTCACTTGATCGCTTCTTTATTTTTGTTTTCTTATTTGATTGTCTATTTTAACATATACTGGCAAGGTTGGAGGTCTACGATTCTCCAACCGTGGGTTTTTTGTAGGCATATACAAATTTCTGGCTTGGTTGTTTCATCCTGTATGTTATTGAATTTTGTTCTGTTTTATGTGGTTTAATATAGACATGATACTCATGTGTAGATGATTAACACAAAGGAGATGAATTGACATGGACTTGAATTCTGTGCCATGGTCCGCAAAAGAAATATATAATTTATAATATGATACTTCCTTGTGCAAATTAAGACTTGAATTCTCTTACCAAAGCACTCTGAATATTTTTCCATCGTCTGTGAATCTAAGCAGTCAAGAGGAGCATTCAAAAATCTTATACTTCCAATGACCAAAAATAACTACAAATTACTATTTCCTTTGTGAATTTCTGACATGTTTTGAGAAAAAATAAAGTTATATGGCGGTTTATGCTGAAGCTAGTTGATATTACCAAACATAACATTTTTTATAATTTGCAAGCCAAAATTTCTTTTTCTGTCCTGTTCTCTAGGAATGTTACTGACTTTAAGTTAGGTGTGTATCATTTCTTGATTTGCTACATTTTTGTGATTAAGGTGTTGTTATTGCCAGATCTTGGCTTTTAGAAGTTTAATATTTTGAGTGGATACTCCGTGAGCTCATAAGTTGCATCGTCACCTGTTTAGTTCATTTGCTATCCGGTATGAAGTTCTTATGAAATTAAGCTTTTACGTGATGTTTGGAGACCTCTATTAGTCGAATCCATGATTCAGCTTCTGCCAAGTAATCTTAGTTGACATGTGGGCTGCAAACTATACTGCTGGCCTTCAAGCTGCATGTTTTGATAATAAAATATGTATTGATTGTAATTGTCATGGCTGACTGCTTAGGCATGTGGCCATCTAGCATATGGTTCACCTTACTGGTGTACTGATCGACTATTGGTATGGTATATATCGATCTGTATTGATATACTGACACATGGTATGGTGGGACATACAGATTAACCATCATGTAATGCCTATACCGGTCTCTTATCAGACTAGTATGTATTATTCATATCGAGTGGTATGTTGCGGTATGGTGAACCTTGATCTAGCAATTGAGTTGGTCAGACTCTTGGCTCTTCTCGTGCTTTTACTCCAGCTTGCTGTTGAGTGCGTGGATAAGGTCCTGGCAGGCTCTGGTTCATAAATGTCTTTCTTTTCATGAGTGACCATTTGATTGCTACAAAAATTTATTACTCAAAGATTAAAGGGGTGGTGATGGTTTACTCGTCCTTATGATTTCAAGGAGAGTGAAAATCACATATTATAAATTTGGTTATTAGAGTATTGTCTACCTGTTTTAATATGTTCAGACATTTGTTTTGTTATTCACTGAATTACTACTGAATCGTTTCTTGTAATTACAACTTTTTTGGAGTTTGCATCAACCCCCAATTAGTTTTTGGTATGAACTTTGAGTTAAGAATATTGATAAGAACAGCTTTTGTTACATATGTTAAACAAGACTTGAACTTTAAATTATTTCACATCTGTTGTTGTTTGAAATTGTAATTCCTTTGATATATTTGTCCAAGGTGATGTGAAAAGTTCACGATTATGACCTTGTACAAGATATGTTTACTATTTAATGTTAGTCAAGGCATGCTTATCTTGAAAATGATATTGTACTACGAGATATCTTTACTTTTGTGTTGTACAATGTGTGTTTACTTTGAAAATGATATTGTACTATTCATGTTTTAACTTTAGCAATACTGGGAGAAAAAATTAAAGGTATGATTGGGATAGGTGGATGAGAAATTTCTAGGAGGCATCATTGTCGATTTATATCTACCATGTAGCACTAATGAGACTTTGATGAAGACATTATTCATAAAATTGAAGATTGATGGTTAGATTGGAGAGTGACATCCTGATGTTTATGTAACCATCTTGGGCCCATTAGACTAAGAGGGAAGTTCTATGAGCTAATGGAAGGACAATCATGTTTTATGGATTTGAATGTTGGCCAATTAGGACATAATGTGTAAAAGTCACTAATTGTTGAGATGATGAGATGGATGTCTGAATGAGATTACTAGAAAAGATAGAATAAGAAATGTGTATAATTATGAATGATTAGATATAGTTTTTATAGAAGATAAAATGAAAAAAAACCATTTAAGATGTTACAAATTTGTTAAAAAATAGATCTAATGATGTCTTGACTAGATGAGGTGGGTTAGTTAAGATTAGCAACATGAAGGGAAGTAGGGGAAGACCTATGATAATATGACAGGATAGAAGTAAACTGAAGTTGTTTGACTGCTTTTAGTTCGAGTAGTGGTATTGTCTAAATAGACCCCAATGGCAGGAAAAAGAATAGAAAAGAAAAACAGCATACCAAGTGCTGATTTTTGGTGAAATGTGAAGCTGGATCATGTGTCACTTGGGGTCAACCAAGAACATCTCGTGATGCATGAGCTTGTGGAAAGTGATCATAATGCAAAGGAAGAGTTGCTCAGCTACAGTGGCCATTCCTTGATACACATTCCTGTATCTATTTTTAAGCCAAACTTGCTGTTGATTATTTATCTGCATAACGGTTGTAACTTGATTATGTTGCTAGATTGATTGTGCAACTTGATATATGTTTCCTGTTGTCAATGAATTGATATATGTTTCTCTGTGAAGTCTTATTCTCCTTGTCAACCAGTTTAGGCCCATGCTATGGGTGAATGCTGAAGTGATTGTTATAAGGACACCTGCAATTGAATGTATCGGTTGATGGGTTCTTTTAAACACGTTCTACTTGAGTCAGAATGCATGCTTATGAAACATGCTGCCAATTCATTCGACTTCAATAGGCACCAATTGATTGGCAATATGCTCAATTTTATGCCATTTAACTTTTTTCTTGAGCACTTATCTTTCATGAAATAGACCTTTGCCTTTGATGTGTTTCCATTGCCAGCCAACTTAATGGAGGGTATATTAGTTATTTGTTAAAATTTGTGCAATTTTTGGTGATTGATGAATGGTAATTGCTTGCATAAAGATAAAGTGGATTTTGTTTATTACAGATGAAAAATGAGATGAAGCTCTTATCCTATGGGGACTCTTATAGCAAATGGTGAAGTAGCTATGAGTTTGTCAAAGGGAAAGGCTATACTTGGCCGAAAGTCTCATTTGCATGATAGAATTATATATGACATTTTTGTTGTTGAGTTTGATCATTGTAGGTGTCTGATCTTCTTCGCCAACACTGGTTCTTTTCTCTCAAAACATCCATGCAGATGTCACGGAAGAATCGACTGCATCATCATTCTGACTTCTCCAGCAAAGCTCCAGGAGAGGCCTCAAAGACTCTGTAGTGACTTATCAGGTACAATTTTTTTTAGTCTGTATTCTCTTGTTTCAGTTTTCTTGAGTCTCCATGTGGGGAGGGAGTCATTGTAGAAGATGAGCTTCTTATTGTTTCATAGAAATTATTGGCAAAAGAGGCATCTCCTGTAGGAATTGGACATTAAATCACCACTTCCCATTGGGAGAGAGCTGCAAATACATGCAGTATGATCTTGATAGATATTGCAATATAGTTTTGGGTTCCTTTTTCCCTCTCCTTGTTGTAGCTGCCACTGAACCCATGAGATGAAGGAATTGATCTGACAACTTGTTAGCATACTCTTAACAGTCATTGCCTCTCCTCGCTCAGAGAACCATATCACTGAAAGCGAGAGCCTTGCCGGCTTGCAGGTACATGTAACCTTATCTCATGCTATTTTTACTCCATCAGGCATTTTGATGGATTCCATTATATTTCTTGGTGCTGCCTCAGGCTTAGAACATTAGTACCATGGCATGATTCTTGGTCTGTGGTGGCTCTGTAAGTTGCAGATTAAAGTACATTTTGGTGTCCTTGGGTATATGGAGATGAAGAACCTACTGTTAATTGCATCTCTTCCTTGGAAGCACTGGAAGAGAGTCTTCTTCTTCTTCTTCTCTCTCTCTCTCTTCCAGAGCATCTACTGTTGCATCTGTTCCAAAGATTCATCACATCTTTAGTGACACATCTAGACAATCTTCTTGCTTTATCTTATCATTCATCTCTCTCTCTCTTTCAGGAACAGGCAGACCAACAACCTATTGCTCCGTCTCTTCCGGGCTTGATGACCAACGGGTCAACAACTAGAATCAAGGATGTTGTTGTTCTGAAAAGTAGTGATGGGAGATGGAGTAGAGTGGGAGCTGATGGGAGACTCCACCAAACATGCCGTTTTCAAGAACTCTATGACTCGACATGATTCTAACACCTCTTATGTTTTCTGTGTGATCTCAAGAAACCCACAATGGCTATTGACTCCTTGGAAGCTTCAAGTCTGCTCCAAAGAAAGAAAGTAGCTTTTTCTGATGGGAAAGCACAAAAGCTCGACTCATCTTCGGGTACACACTCCACCATTGTTAGACACCACAGAAACTAAGTGGGTTGATGAGGAATAGAAAGTATATCCTAGTGTCTTATATCATACTCAATCATGGGGCTTGTTAGCAGCTTGTGGCCATCACACTCAACTGAGGTGCTTTATTGCAGCTTGCATTATTGAAAAGATGGAGCATTAAGCATTCCACCACTGTCACCAACTTGAGGTGATCAACTTCCAGATAAGACCTTCACTGTTAGGACACCAGCCAGCCCATTCAGCTCATCCAAAAATCTGGCACATCAGCTGAACTCGAGAGGGAACTCTAACAGGTATGAACATCGGAGGCTGATATATTCTCTCCCTCTCTCTCTCTCAACAGCCATGGATGTGCTATTGTGTGATGGTCCAGCCGTGGGATGCACGCTGAGCTTTACTGCGAACTCCCCATGGCCATTTGGTACAAGTCCAAGATTGAATTCGGTCCCTCCCAACTACAAGAAAAAGAATGATTCTATTCTCTCCGTGCTCCTCTTTTGCCTCCTCTATTTATCCCCTTCCTCCCTTCACTCCACACCATGAGTTCTGCTGCTTTGTAGTACAAACCCAAAAGAAGAACATAACATGGCCAGCATTGGCCGAACTCTGCTGCTGCTTCTCTCCATTCTATGCCTCTGTGTCGCCACCTCCTTCGGTGCGTGTTCTCAAGCACGTCAAGAAAGGAAGGCCGCGGAGGTCAGCGACGGCCCGACGGCATCCCCGTCCCAAACGAACGGGTCCTGCGGCTGTTCATCGTCACCTGCGCCGTCACCGTCGACGTCTGAGCCGAATCCCAACGACTTCCCCAACCTCAAGCAGTACTACGCTTACCTCGTCATCCAGCAGTTCAAGCAGACCGTCACCTGCGACCCCGACGGCGTGACGGCGACCTGGGTCGGGTACCGGCCTTGCACCTACCGCGGGTTCTACTGCGACACCCCGCCGGACTCCCCGGGGACCCCCACCATCGCCTCCGTGGACTTCAACGGCTTCCGCCTCTGCGCGCCGACCGTTGCCGGCTTCGTCGACCAGCTCCCCGACCTCGCGCTCTTCCACGCCAACTCCAATAACTTCTCCGGCCCCATCCCCGACCTCACCGGCCTCCCCTACCTCTACGAGCTCGATGTCAGCAACAACATCCACTCCGGCCCGTTCCCGGTCGCCGTCCTCCCGCTGAGCAACCTCGTTTTCCTCGACCTCCGGTACAACCTCTTCGCCGGCACCGTCCCGGCCTCCATCTTCTTCCTCGACCTCGACGTGCTCTTCCTCAACAACAACAACTTCAACCAGCAGCTGCCCGCCAACCTCGGCAGCTCGCCGGTGGCCTACCTCACCCTGGCCAACAACGGCTTCACCGGGCCACTTCCCCGGTCCATCTTCAACGCGTCGAGAACGCTGGTGGAGGTCCTCTTCCTCAACAACAAGTTCTCGGGCTGCTTGCCGTACGAGATCGGATCGCTGACTACCGCGACGGTGTTCGACGTTGGGTTCAATCAGTTCACGGGGCCGATACCGTGGTCCTTCGGCTGCCTGCTCAAGGTGGAGCAGCTGAACCTGGCGGGCAATCTGCTCTACGGGGAGGTGCCGGATGTGGTATGCCGGCTGGCCAAGGACGGTAACTTGGCTAACTTATCGTTGTCGGGGAACTACTTCACGTCGCTGGGGCACTCCTGCTGGGATTTGATCAAGAGGAAGGTGCTCGACGTGCGGCAGAACTGCATACCGTGGTTCCCGGAGCAACGGCGGCCGGTGGAATGCTGGCGCTTCCTGTGGCATCGGAAGTTCTGCCCCTTCTTCCACTACATCCCGTGCGGCCTACCGAAGTGTGCGCCGAAGCCCGCGGCGCCACCGCCGCCGGGGTACACGACCTATAAGGCGCTTCATCAACCCCCCCGGAACTAGTCACTGCACCATCTCTCTTCTCTCTCTCATTAATGTCTGTCTTGGAACCAATAAGTCTCGGTGTTCTTCATGATCAAGTGCAAGCGATAAATGACAGTAAGTCTGCAGCTGCGATGGGCATATAGCATGCCTAACCTACTCGATGCGTTTCTGCCACTGGAAGTAACATGTCGATCTGCTCAAAGAATAAAGAAGATGCCAATCCAACACCTGAGCTTGTCGCCTTGTTGGTGTGCGCAATAGTGTCACTCACTTAACCTTTACAATCTATATATATATATATAATCAATAAGTGGAAGCACAAGTTGGGTTCAACATAAACTGAGTGCAAGAATGGAATAGCTTAATTCACTTGACATCATGATTAGATTCTCTTAATCTCTTTACCTGTACTTATTATAATCATCCTTTGAGAATGTCAACCCATTGACTAAGTCCTCTCTCTTGTTCACATTTCCCTGCATCTCCCACGTATTCGGATCTAGATTTTATGATCCACATAAAATCCAAGTTACATATCTACTGTGCTATATGAACTTTGTCTAAGTAAATCTACTTGCAATTACATCTAACCATATCTAATTTCCACTTGGAAGGCGCTCATGGATGAAGAATGGCGGCTGACTCGCTCCAAGGTTGCATCATCGCATGGCACCGAAACCGATCCAATTTGATCGAACTGATCTTTCCATTTGTTGGGGAACTAAAGAACCGAAGCATGCAATAATCTCAATACGAGATCGATCATATATCTTTCTCTCCATCATTTTAAGTGCATTCTTCTTCTCTTCCTCGTTCGTCAGTGAAGAGAGAGAATTAGACAAGGAGAGAAGAGTAGAGACCATGCATCGTTCGACGAGCACAACACGGGTGTCGGAGGAGTTCTCCATGAACACGGCGGCGCAAGCCATGGGCGGAGGAATAGCCAACAAGGGTGGTGGCACGTACTACCACGACGATCACTACCACCACCATCACAGCCTCCCCACCTACGATCCTCAATCGGACGCCGCCAAGAAGGAGGCGAGCCGAGCCAAGGTGGCCGAGAACATGGTCCATGTCATCCCTTTCGTCCTCGTCCTCTGCACCATCATCCTCTGGTTCTTCTCTCACCCATCCGGTATCTCCTTCCTTCCATACTTTTTTTCTTGTCAATCTCAATAATCTTTTTTCTAATTAAAATAAAAATAAAATAAAATAATTGAATTATGTTACGCTAATTCTTAAAATAACAAGAGTTGATGGAGACTCTTTATAGCTTTTATATACGAATTTGTGTAGAATATGCATTTTACTTTAGCAATTAAACTACTACATTATCGGTTAATAGCTCATCGATAATATTTTTTTGTGAAGTAATATAATATTTTTTTAAAATAAAATAATATTTATTATTTTTGATAATGATCAAGATTAAGATAACTTCTCTATTTATAGGTATAAGATGGTAACTATTACTGTTTTCTATTTCTCTTCTTCTTCTTCTTCTTCTCCTCCTCCTTTGACTCAAACAATAGGTATCGATACGATGAGCAAGGAGGAGACGGTGGTGGCCAAGGTCAAGAACATGACGACCGACGGCTATAAGAACTGGAATGGCTCGTCGATGACCATCGGCATGGAGGACCTCGACCCCATCGATGGAATCAGCAACGAAGAAGATCATACTGGAACCAAAGGCTCTCGTCACTGACCTAAGTAAAGCTCGATCGGCTCTCTCACACGGCAAATAACAGTGGCCATTGCTTTGGCCAATGCTTCGATCCGGTACTCTTCTTCTCCACCTCGACCACAGCCGGCACCTCCATCAACCCATCCCCGCTGGCTGCCATGAATCTGCCGTCCCACTAACTTTGAGCCATCTTTTATCGTTCAAGTGTTGTTGAACTGTAGGCACTAATAAGAGCAACATTATTTCATTATATGGTGAAGGTTTAGACTTTTTGAGTTTCTAGTGCGTATGATCTTGATGTAATACATATATATTATTCTGATGATCAAGAATTCTTATTATTTCATTTGATTCAAAAATAATATTTTTTAAAGATTGATTAACAAATGATATTTATATCATAAATATGGAAACCCCTCATGACATCCGTCTTCATGTAGGCGATGTCTCGGGTCACCTCAAAGGCACTTTGAATATATTCTACACGTACGAGTTTAGGACTACGTCGAGTTGGTCAAGATATGAACGAGACCTATGAACATTTATATCGATACGGAATAATATTTTTGATGTCAAAATCAATATTAGAATGGGCATCTATGTCAACATTCACATCAAGGTTTAACCCGACTTTATGTTAACAACTTCGTAGGATAACCATGTCTTCGAAATGTAACTCAATTTCCATCACTATCTTATTACTAACAATTAGGGGGAGAGAAAAAAAAGCAAAAATACAAAATTACTTGTTGGTGTTTTTTAAATAAAATTCAAAATTTTCATTATAAATATTTATTGCTTAATAATAATGCATTGTAGTCTCTTTAATATTTTTTGTTTATTTTATTTTAAGAATTTTAATTGTTAAAATTTTGTATTTCTTATGGTTTTAGTTGGAATTGGGTCCATAAAAGAACTACGGATTTTTTTAATCAAATTGACATCCTTTGATATATAAGAAATTTTTTTGGAATGAATCTATACCAATCTACTTATCATGCTACTTATAATGAAAAAGTACTTAATTATATCCTTGAGAAAATGGCTAAAATATATATGTACACATGGAGATAAAAAAATTATTCTTTGGTTGGCAAATATACATTTCTAGATTTTTTTAAGGACTTTTTTTAATTAGATTGATTTAACTTTTCTTACGAGTATTTATCATAATAATAATGTGTATCAGTATAACATAGATATCAATAATGCAAAAACTATAACACTAAGTAAATCCTAAATCTCTAAATATACCTCACTCATTGTATATTTAGAGTATCGAGCAGTAATTTTCAAGAAATAATTATGTTTTAGATTTAATTTTAATTAATTTAAGGATTGCTAGTATTTTTGATAGAAAAATTAAAATTTTTTGTTTAAATATTTATTATTCAACGAAAGACATTGATTTTTTTAATATTTGCATATATTTTATTTTAAGAAATTTAATTGTTAAAGTTTTACATTTTTATGGTTTTAATTAGAATAAATTTATAAGAGGACTATGAATTTCCTAGTAAAATAGAGATCCTATTTTTCATAAAAAAAATTTATTCTTTTCTTCTTTTTATATACCACCTCTTATTATGTTTGTAAATATGCATCAGTAGAGGAAAAGGAATACTAAATCATATTATCGAGGAATGAATCCAATCATATGCCGATATAAAGGATTTCTTAGGATTAAATGATTTCTAAAACTTATTTATTTTAGGTTTTTCGATCATATTGAATCTAACTTCGTTTTTTTTTAAGAGTTTTTACCCCTAATATCATTCACCTATGATTAGGCAAAAAGATTAATGTAACTAGTGGCATGGCATCAATCGCTTGAAGGTGTGGTTCATTTATTTGACCGTTCAAGTAAATCTGAAATAATCTAAAATTTATATCTATACTAATGATATTTAAATTTTTAAATATATATTTCTATGGGTGTTTTTATTAAAAAATTTATAAATTTGAGAATTTTTCATTAAGTACCAATGGTTATGTAAAAAGATCATTTTGCCGTTGTCTCAATTGGACTAGCCATCATCTCTACCCTACATTGTCGCTGATAGACCTCGTGTAAAGGTTGTCATCACCTCTGTTAACCTTGCCCCTTCACGTTTCACCCACGACCCTCGCACAAGAAAGAAGGGGGCATAAAATCCTCCATCGTCGCTTGCAACTCTCGCATGAGGGCACTCTACCAACGTTCACAGCCCTAAACTCGAGTCTAATCACCTCCCTTCAACCTATTTGTTGACTCTCATCGTGCTCACTCATGACCCACAAGCGAGAAAGGAGGGGGTGCAAGGGTTGTTGCTACCTCTATGGACCCCATTGGCTTTTGTCAAACTTCTCATCACCTTTGTGCATATAGGGGCAAGTCCGACAAGGACCACATAGGTGGCGATGGTCCTCACGCCCCCTCATTCCTTATGTGAGGTCTATGGGGAAGAACGATGAGGGTTGTGCAAGACGACAATATAAGGCAAAAACAAGTCCGACAAGATTAGGGGTAAAATGATCATTTATGAAAAAGGAAACGTCCATGGGAATTTGAGTGCTTCATGAAAAATTCTCAAAATTAAAGTTTTTTTTAATTCACTCTATTTTTATTAAAAGAATAATTATATTTATTACTCTCTTATCCCTTTTTTTCCGCATCGGTTTTCTTATCCTCCAATTATATGAACTGTTATATACATTTTAAAGAGCCCTCCATAAAATTTTCTCAGCATGCTATGGGAAACATTGGATCCTTCCCACAATATCACCTTCATAAAACCTAACCATTCCTAATTTTAATTTGTTTTGCCTGCCAATAATTAAATTGATGATCACCAAACAATTTTTCGAAACAACTAAAAATCATAATTTATATACAAATGCTTATACACACACACACATATATATATATATATATAATGTAATATAATATAATATAAAAATGTAGAAACAAGGAACACGTTCCTTGCGCGACCCGTCACCCCGGAAAAACATCAGGGTGATTCAGTCCCTCCACAATAGGTTTCGACGGTGGCGTTTCCCGCATCCACAAGCCTGCGGCATTTCCGATCGCGGTTCTGCTCCACGTAAGCACCTCTTCCGTTTCCTCGAAGCCTTGTTACGCTCCCATCACAGGGGAATTGGAAAAGAGACACCGCGTCGGTGGTCGGAAGCCGGCTTCTCTCTTTGGGCTTCCTCTCCCTCGCCATCTCCTGTCTCTCTCTCTCTCTCTCTCTCTCGCTTCTCCGTCTCCTTCATCACTCGCATCGCACCATGGTTCAGGCCAAGAACAACCACACCAACAAGAAGTCCAAGCCCAGAAGGCAACAGGACACCGTAAGCTTCCTTTATCTTATCCTTTTCGACCTATTTATTGCCCCAAATCCATGTGTTTCCTCCTGCCCTCTTCCTCTCCCTCTCCGCCCTAAACTCTCGCGATTAATTCGATTCTCGAAATGCCATGGTTGTTCGGATCTTGTCTATTGCGGCTCCGAGTGACGCTGCCGAAACTATTAAATTTCTTCGAAGTCGTGGCTGCGATCAAGTTATTAATGAAATCCTACTTATTTGATGCTCACGCTGATGCCTTTAACATAGTAAATCACTTGCCACCTGCAGTTTTTTGTCCTTTCACTCGGGTGCTAAAGAAGATAGGGGTGACGTCGGGTGCTAAAGCACTACTTGAAACGGATTGATTCGTAGAGCACAAAATTAGGGCCAGACGGTACAGTTGTTTGGATGGTCCGAGTATTAATATTTTTATCTTTGCTTGACATATTCAGGATTAACATAAGTGCACTAATTTCAAACTATTCTTCTGTGTCTTTGATTACATTCAAAAATGTCACCTTCTTTATTATTTCACACATAATAGTTTGTGTAAAGGATGGTTTATATTGTATGCAGGTAAAGAAGCAAGGGATGCAAGCCGATATATCAGAACTTTGTGCTCAACTTGATGCATTGGGCTTAAAAATTATTCAAGTTACAGCAGATGGCAACTGTTTCTTTAGGTTTGTGGAAATCTTGTTTGGCTTGGACCGGTATTTGTAATCCAGTTACTGTGTCAAACTTTTTTCTATTTTATTAACATATCACAACCACTATAATATGCAGCATGAGCAATGGGTTATATGCAAAGTATAATTATTTGATTTTTATTTTTTGCAGGGCCCTAGCTGATCAGCTTGAGGGTAACGAAAATGATCACCAAAAGTATCGTGAAATGGTGGTGAATTATATCTTTGTATGTAACATTTTGGCCTAAGCCTTGTGAGATTTCATTGCTAATGTTCATAAATTGTAGAAATTTCTCCACGACACAGTTTAAGCTTAATCATTGTGATTCTATTGTATCAGTACACATGACACCCATGACACAATAATCATTATTCATTCGAGATTTCTCCCTTGTTTAATGTAACATATAGGATTTTCTTGTATTACAGTTGTCATTGATACTGTTTTTTTAATCTTTATTTTCTAACATAGTAGCACTATTCATAAAAGCTCTTCGATCTTGGTTACCTGATCTCCTTTGATACTAATATTAGATAAAAATATTTGGTGTACTTTGATAAAATCACTACTGCTTTTCCAATGTTGAGTTTTAAAATTCATCAACCAGTTCTTATTAATTTACAGAAAAATCGCGAGGACTTTGAACCCTTCATTGAGGATGATGTTCCATTTGATAAGTACTGCCAGTCCATGGAAAAGGATGGCTCATGGGCAGGCCATATGGAACTTCAAGCTGCTTCTCTTGTTACAAAAAGAAATATTTGCATTCACAGAGCAAGTTTTTCATGCCTTTCTTTATAAACTTAATTGCTTTCATGCTTTGTAATCAACTTTATGCTTGTTCTTCATACATTTCAAATTCTATTGTCAATTAAAAAGGTACAATAATTCTGATGCCTTTATCTGATTTTTGGAATTGATTCAAGAGCATTAGCTTTCTTAAATCATATTGGATCAGTATTGTAGCTTATGTGTTTGGCATGCTTGGATGTTTTCACCTGAGGTCATTCTGAATGTCTTTTTGGAACAAGAGTTCACTCAGTTGGAAGTCTGCCAGTGCATGCTTACTTGTTCAATCTTGAAAAACATAGAATGCATACGTCATATATACAAAAAAAAGAAGATTTTATGTACAGAGTATAATGTTATTACTGATAGTAATAGTGTCGTTACATGTCATGATAAATAATAACAGGTAATTAACTAGCAGCTTCAATCTATTCAACATGAGAGTGATTATCTTTAGTAGTACTTCAAGAATGTAAAGAAGATAATAAAAACTCATGAAAAATTGAGTGAATTGTTGTTTTGATTTCATTAATCATAATTCAACGTTCAATAGAAATACAAAAACTATTAAAAATAGTAATATATCAAATGCTGTTTATCACATCTATAATCAGAGGATCAACATTCAAGAAAGAGTTTTTTTTCACTGAATGCCTATGAAGTATCTTATAAGTACCCTAAAAGTATCAGATCTTTCTAAAAATTATTTGAAAATGATGATACTTTGAGGAAGTTTGCTGACAAACATCTGTATAGTATCATAGAAGTATCATATTTGATGCCAAATATAGCAAGTAGTTTAAAGAATCCAAGTAACAGGGGTAGTACTATGTGGGTGTTATTCCAAATTGTCATGGTTTAGTAACATGGCAAATGGGAGGCAGGGAGGGATTATTGTCATGATTGGATATTTTAATTGTGATTTTGACTACATTTTTTTGTCATGATTGGATATCTTTAACAACTAAAAATTTTACAGCTGAAATAAGTGCAGTACAAGTCATTCCAAATGACCATGAAACTCTTCTTGTGCTAGAATTGCAACAAACTCCAGATTTTACATGAACTATTCTTCCTAAAATGGGTACAGATGGGGCAAAGATGGGTTAATCTTGTGTTATGTAATGATTACATTGTCATAACTTTGCAGAATGAGAAGTATGTAGAAGTATTCACATATGCATCTACATGTGTGCAATATATATTGGAACTTTTCCATCTGCCAATGAGTGCTCTAACTTTAATTTTCATTATGCAGCTTAAATCTCCGCGCTGGTACATATGTAATTTCACTGGTGATCATCAAGCAAATATGATTCATCTGTAAGTTGCATACTCCTCCCAGTATTAACGACAGCTGAGTGATTATGATTTTATTTGTATCTCTTATTTTGTTACAGATGTAACGTCATATGCAGCTTCATATATGAAGGCTGTAGTTAGTATGCTATAGTAAAAAAAGTTACAAAATAATTCTGGTGTTTTTGTATTTACTACATGCACAACTTGGTCTTCAGGTGTTTGCCACACATGAATAATCTTCATAAGTATCCTTTCATATTCATTATCCAATTTTCTTAGAAGGATTCTCTTGGAGTTTGTTAGCTGAATGAAACAGTTGATGAAACTAATTCTATAGCAAATAATTTTATTTGTTCATGCCTTTTCAGTTACATAATGTCTTCTAAATGACACACTTTATCTGATATGTGGAAGTTACTGGCCACTTCTGGAAAAAGTTGGATCAATAAATAGAACAATTTATAAGCCTCTTCTAGATTTTACTTTTGCTTCTCATCTCAGATAAAATGATTTAAACGGCTTATTTTGTAGTTATTATAGACAAATGTGTCCTTTTAATGCAAGAGGTAGAAAATTTATTAGTTATGTGGTTCACAAAGAAATAGTTCATTTTAAATAAAGAGTTACACCCTAGAAAAGAGATGAGCATATGGAGGCTGATCAGTTTGGCTATGTCTTTGTATGCAAAACCTTTTATGTAAAGTTGTTTATACATTATGCTCTCTCTTAAGTTCCTCATTGCAGGCAATTGTAGATGTTTGCTTGACGCAAGTTCCTTTGGTAGGTTGGTTACCTTTGCTATGATGTCCTAATTTACTTGTGTGTTCATCCTGACACTAGTTGGGCTGCTTTGATTGATGATGGCCATTCCAGGTGTCACTCCATATTGGCTTGAGATCAGCATGTTTGCTGTATGTCATGCTGCTCTTGTTGTCCTGTGTTGGCTGTGTCAACACATATAATGTTGTATATATGGGCATGATGTGTGGTGTACTTTTCGTAGTAGCATGAATGATGGCACCTTTTTTGAAATGAGAAGCAACATATTCTTGTGTTGCCATGGGCAATCCTTATACAATGGAGCTAAGGTCACCTTTCATTCAGCGGTACTGACCTCCTGGTCTACTGCCATATCCATGAGTTTTTTTTTTCTTGTGGGATTTTGTTACGCAACTTAATGCTAATTACTAGTTTTATTATGCTCATAGTTCTTGCTATTCTCATAAAAAAATTATATCACTAATTGATTATGAATTGTACAGGTGTTATCATGATGGTGAACACTACTGCAGTGTCCGTTCAAAGGAAGATTCTTGTGAAGGACCTGCTAAGCCAATAATGATTAAGGTACAAATTGCTAATCTATAAGATGAAGGAATTCATTGAGGTCCATCATATAAACAATCTTACGTAAATTTTTTGGTTCTTTCTTATATCAGGCAGATGCTCATATTTCTGCAAAGGAGCATAACAACAAAGTAGCAATTGACAAATCATCAAAAGGGTCCTCAAGCAGAAGTACCTTTAATAGTGGATCAGTTAAATTGGTCATGGCTGGAACTGGAATTGAGGACATTGATAAAGTTGAACAGGTAAAAGGATGCTAATAAGCTTCACAGACAAAAAAAGAAACAGATTTTATCTTTTGTATTTTCCTTTACAAAATGACTCTCGCTGACCGTTGAATATTGAACCCAGGTTTTACGAGAAGTAGATGGTGATGTTGATGCAGCAATTGAGTTTTTGATAGCTGAGAAGGAGTTGGACCTCGATCATGATGCATGTTCTAGTGCTGACAATTCCAAGGGAGAAGATCTGCTTCAAGGTAATGACCTGTCCAACTTAGATCTTGTATCTATATCTGAGCATATTAGAAGTTTTTGTTAAACTTGTGATTACATATTTTATGATTGTTTTAACCATGTTTATAGAAACTGGATCAGAACGGGTGGTTGGACCAGAAAAAATGGAAACTGGACCATCAACTTAATTTCGTGACTGCACATCGTTTCAGATGTTCCTTTGAATTTCAACCATCAGCTTGATTTTGTCAGTGATATTTCTTTTTAGATACCCTCTCTCTTGAATAAAAGTCCCAATACATTATAAATAAATATTTTTTGAAATTCTGTCACCCATGCATAAATATAAGACTAAAAATTTGTTTCATCTCTTTTTTTACACATATTTGTTGTCATTAATATGTCTGTTGGGTTTATTTTTCTAAATCTGTCACAACTCATATATAGATGTTCTAAATCTTTTCTCCATGTTATTAAAAATTATTTGCAATTATCCTTAATTAGTTTTTTAGTTGATTGTTCAAATAAAGAAGTCCTTCAGAAATCTTTCTTTATCGTCCTAATTCATCTTTAATCATTATTAAAATATCATTTCAAGTTTTCAACACCTAATAATTTATTCCATTATGTTTTATGTAGCTGCAAGTATCTCTTTGCTTCTTATTAATTGGTACTGAAATGCTTCTCTTACATTTCTAAGCTGTTTCATTGATGTTATTTTTTTCTATGAAAAAAGCAAGCCATCTTTTATGACATTGAAAGTTTGTGCAATAATGACACTTGGTTTATAGTGCCTCTGGTTAAGTAAAAGAATAGACAGGGTGGCACTTTGGCCATCTTAATATTGGTTTTGTTAAAATAAGCCAGCTAGGACTAATAGGCTACCTGAGTGGGTTGTTTATGTTTCTACTCCTGGCATACTCTAGAACTGCATCTAGTTTGGGGTAAAGATAACTGAATAAAAATATATCCTAACCTCCTTGCAAAACTAGCTTTAACACAGTGGGTGATATAGATTAGTGAAACAAGCAAGAGAATGCACCCTTTAGATAAAGATACATTATCAAGGATAATTTTAGTGAAACTCCTTTGACCTAATTAATTTCACTCTTCTAAATTTGATTATTTGGCAGGTTAAACCAATAGCAAAAGGTTTAAATCTCCTAACTCTCTTTTGACTTGCCTCTGACATGCAGAAGCCCATAGATGCTTTTATCATATGGTAGAGAATTGCACTGTTTTTTCCAAATCCACTATCTTATCATCTTTATAAATGTTTGTATCAGGGAGTAGAGAATTGCAATTGCATATTCTTTTCAAATCCAGTACCTTATCAGCTTTTTTTTTCTTTCCTCTTGTGCTTGGAGAATGGTCCATCAATTTTTGGATATATGTTCTACCAAAAGAATATTTACCATGTTAAAGTTTGTGCACTTTTTCTATTCTTATTGAGGCTTTGTGATAAAAAGTTTGGATTTCTTAGGAGAATGTCAAATTCAGGACCCTGGACAAGCAGTGGTAGCATCATTGGACATGAAATTGGAGCAAGACATATGTGATACGAAGATCCAAGCTGTTCAGGCTGATAGCATTCATAATCAAAACAAGGTATTTGCTACAGGTTCATATTGAGGCACTTGGATTTATTAAAGTCGACTTCTGTTCAATCACTTGTAGTCTTCATTCTCCCAGAAAAACCCAGAAAATAAAATGTGTTCATGTGGATCGAAAAAGAAGTGCAAGGCCTGTGGTACAAGCACTGGAAAAGTTTCATCATTCATAGTGTATGCTCTTGCACTCTTTTCATATTTACTTCTTGACGGTCAATGATGTTTGTCTCACTGTATTTGCCAATTAAGTATTTATTAACACCAAAAAATAAATATCATTTATCTTCTATTGTCTAGTTATTCTCATTTAGCTTGTATTGTCTAGTTATTCTCAATTAGCTTGTACCAGAAATTTGTTTATTGCATTGTGATTTTCAACTGACAGTAGATGTTTGTAACCAAGAACATTGCTCCAATGGATGATCTTTTAATTAGAGATGAAATTTAATTCTCTCTGCATATATATGTATATGATATCGGTATATATTCAATGTGAAATGAGTGTTTTTATATGGAGAGGTCATTGTCATTTTGGTTAAAATCGTTTTCATTTCATGGATTTATAATTAATTTAGAGAGTCCCATCAAAGTTTGGTCTCCCAACTCTTGCCAGTTCCTATATAAGGATTTAAATATCAGTCCAATACAATTTTAGGCTGTTAGACTGTACTATAATGGTATGTCAAGTAATATACCAACATGTATCATTCAGTATCTTTGAATAATAATAATAATAATAATAATATTATTATTATTATTATTATTATTATTATTATTATTATTATTATTATTATTAATAAAATTATATCAAATGATACCCAAGTAAGGTTTATAATTTTGTGTACCAGTAATGTTCTAGCCATGTTTGTGAGCCTATATTTGACAGCATCAAGTGTTGGATCTTTGTGAGCTTGTCCTCTGACCCTCACATCTAAATCTTATAGCCATGCATGTTCACCTCTCTCTCTTTTTGTGTGGCCACGACTCAGCACGCTGCATGGGAAAAAGAGGAACTGTCACATAGGATGAGAAGCAAAGGGCACAAGGTGCCATATGAGGATTCAAAACTGAAGGTTAACGGATCTAGATGCAAAATTACTAGGTTAGCTGATTGGGTGAATAAGCCTTCTTATTTTGGTCTATGACAAGAGAAGCCACTTTAGCATGTTGACAAATTTGATAATACAGAAGTCTGGCTGATTATGGCACGAAATTTCTTAATACTTTTTTAATACCTAAAATGGCAATTAAGGATTTGCAGTTTTGCACATCTTTTATCTTGAAACTGTTCCTAGAGCGGCTACCATTATGTGAAATAAGTTCATAGCACAATTTGATTTGAAGCTTCGGATAGAATACAAGAACAAACTTTTCTTCAATCGACGTATTAGATAAGGAGTTTAATCACAGGAGCTTGTATATGTATGGATAATATACTGATAGAATGTCAACTTTTCATGACAGTGTTACAGAAAACAGTATACTGGTATAGAGTTCTTCAAGCTAATGTGAAAAATATCTCGCCTCAGCTTTTGCTCATACTATATGATTTGTGATTGTGACTGCCATCTTTTGTTTTTCAAGATTGCCGAGTAATGTTATATATGGTGATCTTAATGTCAATAATTAGAACAACAGAGTAATTTATGCTTATCTTGCTTTCCAGTAACAGCAAACATGCTGCCAACAAAGGCAGGAGGGAACCAAAGCAGAATAAGAGAAAAGAAGCCATAAACGAAGTGAGGAACTGTGGATCTGGATCTCTGTCAGACATGGGAGCACTTTGCATTTGAGTGGTTAAGTTGGGAAAATTACTATTGGTTACACTTGCTGTATGAAAGTGCTGGTTCTTGGAGATCATCAGGACCTTCATTATTCTCAGGTACATTAGATTTCCGAAATTTAAACCATCATCAGCATCGATCAATAGTCACCTGTAATGCATAATAGATGTGGCTTTCAGGATTAATATGTTTGACTTGCAATTTACAGTTTTTTCTTCTTCCTTCTTTTCTTGTGCAGGACCAAAGGATTGCAATTTACAGTGTCAAATTTAATTGTCCAGAGTGGCTGAGAAATCAAGATGTAAATAGTCATTAAAATTTTGGCTGAGGCTTTTTTTTTTATTTTTTATTTTAGCAAGTGAACATCAATCAGTTTTGAATCGATATGTATGTTGTTTTTTGTCTTTTTTTGCAGATTAAAAATGTGGACTGTGTGTTTGCATTGTGTTTAATCAGGAGACAGCAATGCTCAAGAATTTTCATGGTAACAGAGAGCATGTTATGGATGTGTGGCTGAAAGATGAAATCCAAGTCGATGAACCCTTTTTATTGCAGAAAAGTAGCATGAAAAGAGAATATGAAACTTGCTTGGCATCATTATGTATACGCATTGTTGTCGAACACGGTGAGTTGGTTGATGCACTGAGCGGGCCGGGCTTCGTGCCTATCTCTTGGGGGCCCAGAAGTCCCAAAGCCCAAGTCGATCTCTTGAATCACAACTCTAAGCCAAACATTTTCGTGAAGTTTAAGCATATAAATAAATAGAGAGAAGAAAAATTGGGAGGAATAAATAGTCTGCATCCACAACGGCGTAAGAACAAGTAATGGCGCGAAGATATATTATGTTCTTATGTAGCTTTAAGAGCAAGTCCTCTTTTCTGCGTTAGTAAGTGTTAAAGATGAGGTCCAAGTGTTTATGGAGTTTTCAAAAAAGAAATCTTTTTAAAAATTTTCATAGAGCGTTCTTACTTTGAAAAAATTTTAAAATAGCACCCTGATCGTGTGAAAAGATCATATTACCCCTTCTTTGTCGGACCCATCGTCGTCTTCGTTGACCATGTTGACTCGGTTATTACATATCTTACTATCGACTCTTGCACAAGACAGCAACGACTAACGCGTGCACCTTCTCCTCCCCTACAATCGATGGTGAGGGCATGCAAATTGTCCCCTCCCCTACAATCGATGGTGAGGGCATGCAAATTGTCCCCTCCCCTACAATCGATGGTGAGGGCATGCAAATTGTCCCTCTCATTCTTCACCCGCAATCGATGGTGCACCTCCTTTCATTCCTTCCTTGTGGCCGACGATGAGAGTTGTGGGCGAGGGAAAAGGGCGGGTCTATAAATGATAGTGACAAAAGCTACGAGCGAGAGCCCTCGGGTAAGGGTTACACATGGCCATTGAAAACAAAGTGGGGTGGCCAGTGGGTGGAGGCATAGCAACGCAACCGGTGGAAGGAGGTGGTCGACAAGGATAAAATAATTTTTTTTAAAAAAATATTTTAAAAATAATTAAATAGGGATGCACTGCTGAAATTTTTGAAAAGTAAGAGCCTTATTTTCTAAATAGATTTGATTATACATTGCTATCTTGTTCAATTTCTAGTGAGGAGTTCAAATAGATTTGATTGTTCGATCTCGTAAATGCAGCACAAGAAGCATTTATCTGCCAACACCGCTTTGGTTGTCACATTCTCCTGAAACATTGACCTCAATGACAAGGATGTGCTGTTCATCATCGTTCCCAACTCTTCGTTCCTAAGACGACAACTTTTTCCTATTGCTGATAGAAATGCAGAACATGTTCCCGAAGCAACAAATACTATTTCCTAAGCAGACAGTGTTCTACATGGAACCTCATAATGCAATGTGCAAGGAAAACAATTGCAAGCATAAGAAGAATTCATCACTTCGATCAGGTCGCGGAATAATTCCATTTTGGACTTCACTTCCTTTTGAATCTTTGCCGACTACGACACTTCTTTACCTGTTTCTGACCCTCCATTCTCGAGATGACACTTCCTCTTCGGCAGATCGAGTTCTTAAAGCTAGCGACAGACACTATTTCCCAGGCATACTGTGTCTCACATGAAGCCCCTCATAATGAGGAGGTGCAACGAACAACTATCAGTGCCCACACAGCATGCGGTATCTCTGTCACTGTCCAAATGTGACTGCCTGCCTTCTGAGTGGACTCCACTGAGCTCAGCGTCCGAGGGAGGCAATGGAGTTGTGCATGCAGGGAAGGCCACATGCATGCATGCCCCCTCCTCTCTGTCTCTGTCTCTCTCTCTCTCTCTCTCTCTCTCTCTCTCTCTCTTCTGCGCAAACAAACCATAGACGAAGAAAGAGAGTGCCAAAGCCAAAATGTACAGGAGAAAATAAAGGAAGGAGGAAAGAAACCTAACAAGGAGAAGGGTCCAGGGAACCACCACAGTGACTTCAAGGTTGGGTACAGTACTGACCATCCTTGGAAGGGATCACTAGACAACAATGAATGAGTTATGTAGAGAAGTAAAGATAACTCATTGAAGACAAATAATTTAGGGTTGTGCCCCACTCAGCTGTTGCCCTGTCACTGGTCTTGGCTTTCAAATGGCTAAGCTTGAGAGTTCCATGTATGTGCCCAAAACACACACAGGCCAACAAACCACCACATATGAATGTTGAGCTTCTACCATCCTAAGATAGATAAAGAAGAGCTGTTGAAGAACATGCTGAGCTTCTACCATCCTAAGAACAATTAAATTCTATTTTCACAAAATATATATTTTTTTTATTTCATTTTGAGATTACTAACCCAAGTTCTTCTATTGCATAATGCTGATATCTGCTCAATCCCAGAGGCCATGATGTGAAATGATAGAGTAATTTCTCATACTAAGTAGAAAGGATATCAATGCTACCAAAAGTATGCACCCCACTATGTACATCCATGCAAACTCAACACAGTGTCAGCTTCACTCAGAATTATCTGAATTGTCCAGCAGAATTGAAGCTTATCTGACTGTAGGTTTAATATCAATGTAACTAAGAAATCTATGGTGTCTGCTATGACACTGTAAGAAGTTTCTGAGAAGTCTAATCTCATCTCATTTCCATGTGTTCTTAGTTATCATAGTACCTTATCACTGGTGACAGACAGATTGGTTTTCAGTAAGGTTTAGTTCAGCAGTGTCATCCATGAAGCAGCCAATTAGCAAGTATGCTGTCATCTTTTCTTCAACCACAAAAGAGAACATATTTGACATGAAAGCTTCTGCTATCTAAATCATGTCACAAACTAAAACATCAGACTTCAAACACTACAGCCACTAAGATGGTGACAAAGAAGCCGAATTGTGTTCCGCACACTGCGAGGTGCATATTGCTAGTTGTGTGGATGCACAAGAAGTACTCGTTACTTCTGCCATCTGAGGAGAGCCCAAAATGGAGACATGCAGAGCACAGCCATGAGAGGGAGAAGAAGATGCTGAGTGCCATATCTACGCTAAACTCTCCCTACTTGTTTGTTGTCATCCACCGTCCACCGTCACCTCTACTGTCTTGGCCCGAACATACCATCACGCACTGAAAGGAGAAGCTGAAGACCGGCAGACAAGTACAGGGATTCACATGAGAGGCTTCAAAGGGTTGTAGATTGCATGAGAGCTGAAATATCCGGTGAGATGTTATAGGTAGAAAGAAGCAGTTCTGAGACTTGAAGGGTAACGAAAGGCGAGCAAAGAATCTCCCTCTCTGATGCTGCTACAGGACCATTGAAAAGAATGCCCATTACTCGATGTTGAAAGCAGCAACTTCAAATTGGGTGTCAAGATGTAAACCAGAGTTGTTTCCATGAAGAAGCCATGGAAGATAAGAACACAGTTCTTTGCTATGATTTAGAGAGAGAGAGAGAGATATTAGAGTAGGCTTTAGGATAAGAGAAAAGAAAGGTAGCCCTGCTCAGTCTATGTATTTTTACAAAATGGATATTGTACACTCTACAACCTCCTTTCACTATTCTAGAGAGAGAGAGAGAGAGAGATTAATGAGCTTATCTAGTGATAAAGATTGCATCAAAAGGTTAAGTTCTAATCTAAAGTTCCATCTCACATGCAAGTTGGATTATACTTGACATGTAAAACCAAACCCAAGTATGATACAAAATAATCAGAAAGAAAGATATTGCATATGAACAAAACATATAATGTAAGTGCCAACAATATTCTTAATCTTTAGTGCCTCTTGGCATGTATATTTCCACACAATTAACATGTCCTTCCTAGTTAGCTTGAAGTTACACATGCAGTTGACCTAACCTAAAACCAACTCCAAGCCATTTATCTATCTACTCATGTTCCTGTGAAGTTTTTGTTCTTCCCAAACTGCAGTTCAGCTCTTGTGTGATCTGAGTGTCCTCCAACATAAGGCAGATTACTTTGGTCACTTCTGAATCAAGGTGGGTTCTTCTCTTTAATTTCTTCTTCTCACCCTCAAGGAAGGAGCTCTTCAAGATTGGGCATGTTTCTTATCCTGATAACATCATAATATTACACATGCTTCATTAGTAAGCCAAGGCCAAAAGATGTGCACATCCAAACTTAATGCAACAAAGAACCTTCTTATCTGATCATTGATAAATCTCATCTTCGTTCACCGACTGTTAGCCGGAAAAGAAAAGAAAGATTCAATCTGGACATATGATGCAACTTGAATGAAACCCAGAGTGATTTGGCATAATGCAACACAAAGAAAGCACTAAATGACCAAAATAGCATGCATGATACACATGGAGTTGTGATCTTCCTCTCATCATTATCTCTGAGTTACCACCAATATTTTTAGCTACATTTGTTTCACTTGGCAAAATCTCCAAATCTACACACATTGTAGCCTCTTCATAGTTGCTCAAACTATTACTTATCCATAACAAAATACAGGAACAAACAGATCAATTAGCACTAAGAGTAACTACAGCTTGACAAATAAAAGGAAGAGAGAGGGATCCTCTTTGGAAAGGTGCCAGCCGCTCTTCATTTCGCAACTTTGATTCATTCCACAGCCTCAGCTCCTGAATGCTGTGTCATCTACTCACAAAAGTAGCTAAACAAGTTTGATGGGGCATTGTGAGGTTCTTTGAGTTAAAGCTGAAAGAAAACAGTGACAACGTGGGTGCTGTGACAACAGAGGCATTAGATCACATCATCAAATGGGTGCATTGTTTCAACCAAGTTCGATAGATGACAAGCCATTCTTATGCTGCATGTTGGAGGGGCAGTTTTGCTATCTGTCTTGCGAATCCTGATGATGCTGCAGAATTAGCGGTGGCAAGCAATTGGGAATATGATATCTAATTTCCATGCTTTGTTCCCAACCTAAAAGCCTCTGTTGTTGCTCTCCACCACTAGATAACGAAAGCCAATTGCTGGTCTTTTCTTCATTGATGCTGCCGAAATGCTGAATCAGAAAAGAAGCAGAATCCTATGGTTAGTTCATTTAGAATCAAGCAAGAAGTACAAGTCAATTTGACAGGAGGCTATCCACCTGATGATACTTAGAACGATTAATCTGCTGAGGTATGATCTCGACAGCCGAGGGCATCTTGATGGTTGTTTGGACTGGCACATAGTTGAACGTCTCATTTGCCTTTGACAGACCTGGAGATTGAGTGAAGCTGCTACTGCTATCCTTTCTTTCAGGCAGCTTGAGCTTGTCATCGAACTAGACAGAAAGAGCAGCAAATCATAAAGGCCGAGTTCGCTATAAGCAGCAAAAGATTTCGATTAATTAAGAACAATACCTTTAATCTCGTGTCACGATTCCACTCCGACTCGAAGGCCATGGGAAGTTGCTGATCCACAACATTGGAACCTTCATCATCCATTATCTCAAGTTTATTTCTTTTCGAGCCTGAGCCTGACCTCCCCAAGCTCAGATCAAGATTATGCTCGACATGATTAGCTGAAATAGATTTTTACTCATCATTATCTGAAGAACAACTTCATTGAAAGCAGAAGTGAATAGTTTCTCACTCTGAATACCAAGCTCATCCTCATAGATCTTAGGATCGAAGTTAGTCATTGCATCCGTCCCGTTACACTTGATTGCAGCCTTGTCATAAGCTCTGGAATTTCAACATAGAATTTCATCGCCATTATTGATCTTTTCTAGCTTCGTAAGAGGCATGATCTGAAAATTTTAGATCTTATTATACCTGGCAGCTTCAATTTCAGTGTCGAAAAGTCCCAGATACACATGTCTGTCAAACATAAAGATAATATGGCTTAAACCCCATAACCTTATCAACATTTGAGAAACAAAATAAGAAATAGAGAATTCATTAAAGGAAGGGCAGAGACATACTTTTTGCCCAAAAACTGGCCCATTCTGGCCTCCCACCTCCCACATTTGTGCAAAGTGACTCCCCGGTACTTCGAGCTTCCTCGAGGAAACCCAGTGCTCTGGCGCCGAATTACTTGAACAAACTCCTCCTTGTTCAGATTGCCCATCTGCCTCAAGCCATCAACAGACAACTACTTGAATTCTAAGTTCATGCATAGGATCCTACAAAATAAACAAAATGTGGATTCATGATTCGGCCATCTTCTTCCCAACACTTGCCTGTTTTATATCCTCCTCATAGTCATCCAAACGAAAATTGATATCTGCGTCCATCCCGCGGAACTTAATTGCAGCTCGGTCATAAGCTCTGCTTCAAAATTCTCTAAACTTAGAGATCTTAGAAGACGATGAATAAATCGATAAGAAGTTATAGTAGACCTAATCATGTAGAGAACCTGATGGACTAACCTTGCTGCTGCATATGCAGTGTCAAATCCACCTACAGATACATTTGCGTTTCAAACAATGCTAAATTACTCAAGTATATTCGAAGAGACATTTGTAATGCAATTAAGAACGAGGCAATATCTTTCAATAGCTTCGGAAATTTGATGAAATCTTGGTTCATACATACCCAAATAGACTTGCTTTCCACAGTCCCTGCACATAGACGAGGCAATGATGATAAGGTAGTCATTTGGAGGAAACCGAAAAGGGCAAAGTGACTGAATCCAACTCCAAGATTGAATTTTTCTTGCGCTTTGAAGAGAGTGGAGAAGAGGAGAAAGAGCTGACCAGATATGGGATTCCCACCGCCCGGTCCTCCGGTAGAAGGTCACCCCCCGGTACTGCGAACTCCTTGACCTCGGACCTCGCCTGCTCTTCTTCAAGGGTGGCGGCGCCTCCGTCGCCATTCCGGCCCCCACCGGCTCCGACGACTGCCAGATCCCGTCTTCAATCAGGTGGCCGCGAGGCTGCGGCGCCGAGCAGCTCCCGCCGGCTCCAGCCCCTTCCGCATCGCCGAAAGCAACGAGCTGCTGAGTCACGACGGCGAGCTTGCTCCCAGCAGAGGGGCTCTCGCCACAGCGGCCAGAGAAGGAGAACCCGAAGATCCTCCCGGCGACGCCGTCGTCCTCCCGCTCTTCGGACGCCTCGACGACGACTGCAGAGGATCCGAACCCGTGGTTCTCCACGACATCTCCGCGGTATCCGATATCGACGGAGGCCATCGGGGAGGAGCCGTCCTGTGCCCCCGACGCAGCGTCGTTGAGATCCCACACACCTTCCATGTTCAAAATCAGATCTTTGGCTCTCTGGCTTGTTCAAAATCGCTCCTTTCTCACCTCTCTCTCTCTCTCTCTCTCTCTCGCAAAATCCAAACTTTGGTTTGTTCTCCTCCTCCCGTTTCTATATATACAACATGTATTCGCCAACTCCCTACCTCAACATGTCTCCATCAATGATCAATCTATCCTCCTCCCTCCTCTGGACAGGGGAGATCGATGCGAAGGAAAGGTGGCAGAGGACACAAGATCGATATCAATCAAAGAGGCAACAGCTCTACAAAACTTAGTGCCCGATAACAATCATAATCTCAAAGGAGCCTTCACGAGTCTGTGTTTGTATGAGCTGACATCAAGAGATTATATATTCTTATAAGATTGCCATCTTTTGGAGAAAATCTTGTGGAATGATGTCTCTTTTGTATCACTGTCTCTCTCCTCTCTCTTGTCCTCTTCCTCTCTGTTTGTCTCACTCGACTCACGTCATGTGATGCTGTTGCTCCCATTCTGTCCAACGCCACCTTTGGTCGGTTGCTGCCGATGGAAGTAGAAAGAAGAATATATAGATATGCTATCCTTTATTGCCTTTCTTTGCATTGCCTTCCCACGTTAACCAAATCGAACAAGAACAAAGCTCACATCCTCTCATTTTAAAGGAAGTCAAAAAGCACCGATTGCAAGAGAATCCTATCACACCTCCATCATTATGTCCTTTCTTTTATCTCCAATTATTAGCTTAGTGTTTACCATTCTCTAAGATAGATTTTACAGTACTTATGCATTTTGAATCACACGATTTAACATCTGAGTATCTCATTAAAACATAAGTTAATGAATCAATTATCCTATCAATACATCATAAAATCACATCATGAAGTCATAGGACTTGAAATGTTTTGAGCTACTTAATTCTAAACTTTCATATCAACTATCCCTCAAATCATATTATGAAATATGGATTATTAGGTTGATAGGTCTGATATCCGATCGATCATATTATAACATCATATCATCACGAGGGTTTATATTATTAAATTAATAGATTGATTATTCATGTCACTTATTAAATCTTAATGAACAGGTGGGTGCATCACATGACATGGACTATCTTATGGCATTAAAGAATGGCTCTCAACATGTGGATCAACCATGATGAGTGCTTGGCATTATCAGAGTATAATTCAAACCTTAAAGTAGGACAATTAGTGGGGCTAAGAACACATGGAGTTATAGTTGAACAAAGATGTCTCCAAGCAGCTCATGAATCTTATGACTCTTCTTTGTTATTATTACTATTATTATCTCCTTAGTCATCATTCTATGAATACATTTAATGGTTATGCATTCATCAATCTTTTTTAACCTTTGTTTTTGCATGAGTTCAACAGGAATCACTGCAGAACAACAACTCTTGTTAGCCAAGTCATTTCTGCAATGAACAAAAACAGGAGTTTAATTTCAAGTCAGACAACATGTTGTTTATGTTTCAATTCAAGAAAACATTTAATGAAAACCATATAATCTGCAAATTTTCATAGCAGTAGAGTGGGAGAGAAAACAACAGTGGATGAGACAAATATACATTTGCATTTAGTTGTATGGTGCTCAAACTATTCAAAGCCAAGGTGATGAGACATGTGCTCAAACCCTTCAAAGTCTATTGAATACAATACTATTGATGAATAGTGCTGCAGCTCATCAAAGGTTAGAAGATGATTACTAAGAGAGAGAGAGAGAGAGAGAGAAGTAATTGTGGATAGAATAATGGATAAACAATACGTATACTATTGCGGAGCAGATTTCGTCAAACACCAACGATTTCCTTCTGGTTTTCTGAGTCAGACTAACGTAATCTTGACGCAAAGATTGGAAGAAATAAACTGCTTCTTATAATTAGACCTTTCCTTTGGTAGTAGCGATTCGTCTCCTCGGATGATATCAGTAGCATCTCCTTGATGGGATCACGTAGTACAGCCTCGACAAGAACACATCATGCTTCCCACCCTTCCGCGCCACCGCTTCGAGAACAGTACACGACCGACATGAATGCAAGCCAAAATCCTACTTTGTGATTCCATGTCTCAGTTGACGTGATGTAGTACTTAGTTTAGCGTTTTCCTGGGCATAGATCATGGCCCTGTATCTTTGATCTTGTTTATGTAGTTTGTGAGATGAAGACAAGGAGGGATTCCACTTCCCACTTCTCTCAATACATATAGACCATATAAGTACATCGAATTCTTTTCACATCTTTATATATACAATGAATGTGACAATGGAAAACTGGAACTAAGCTTATGCACTAATGCAGAATGAGTCTCAAATTTAATGCAGTGTTTCGTGTAGATATAGGCATTGGCATTTGTCACCGATGCTTCAGTACTGTGTTTATGGGACAGAGATATGGCCCAACCTTTGGCATTTGGATGAGGGCATGTATTATTAGCTCCTTCTGCAAGCAACCAGAAACAGTGGACAGAGTATGAGAAAGATCTTGTATTATTGCAGACTGGCAGCACAAGTTGTCTGTACATGTGGATGGTTTCTGCAAGAATGACAGGCAAACAATTCACAGTTGTTGAAAGGGATGTATTTGGCATCTTGGCTTTGGATGTTATGATCTAAGAGTCTCTCAGAATAACATTATCTTCAGCATATTTTCTTAGAATAAGGTGGAAAAATGATTTTTTTTTCTTCTTCTGATTAGATACAATCATCATTTGGGTGATTGATGTCCACCATATTTTTCACAAGCCAAATAAAATCTGATGTTCTATGATTGCTTCTCTTTGAATCCAACATTTGATAGTAGAGTGGTGCATGCAAGAAGTCCATGAAGATGGTACAGAAATTCTACTTTGCTGTAACTACAACTAGGTTTAGAGTTGTCAGATTAGGTAGGAGAAAGAACTCATGCTGTGATGTTACTTCAACATGCAAATGGCGAATAAAAGGAATTAGGAATTTATAGACTTTTTTCTAAAAATTTGCCCAACTAATTGAACATATGACGATTTAGATCAGAAAGAATGCCATCAAAGACACTACTCTGTACTCGTTTTACGAAATATAGGTAGAAAAAGAAACTCAACAAAGATGGAGCAGATGAGAAGGAAAGAGACCTTCTTGAGGGTCAAATTCCAAATTCGCCAGCACGTTTTCCAGCCTCGTGTTCCTCTCCTGCGGACTCCTCATCGCCGCAGCCTGGCCAAATCAGATCATCCCAGAAAAAAGATTATTTTATGAAAGATAAATAACAGGATAATCTCTTTTATGATTTATTTTTAGCTCGAAATGACAGTAAAAAGGGATGAGGATTCATCACACATGACTAATGGGACAAACAAGACCATATCTTTCTTGTCCCCTATCCAAAAGTTGCAGCCTCACAAGCTACCAAACTCCATGCCTAGGCTAGCAATCCAAAATAACATAGGCTGTTGATGATCTATATATGGCACAATTCAAAACAAAATTCTCATCTTTTGTCTGGCATGTAGGTTTTATATATCAGTTTGATATCAATTTTATATTGCCAACAATATCACTTAGTAAAAGAACAGAAAATATAAGTACATGACCTTAGATGGATCATATGGTTTGATACTGATTTGAGGTTCATGGTTAAAAATATCGATCAGTATTTACCATCTAACATCAGAATAGTTGCAGACGTTAATGAATAAACCAAACTTTTGGATCACATTTGGATGATGTAGCAGTTTGGTCACATGGAATGCTTATACTAGCAACAGCTTGAATTCTGGTAAGTTCTGGATTAACTCTACTACCACAGTGAATACTAATCTCAAATCATGTCAACCACATAACGGGTTTTTGGATCTCGAATAATATTAAGTATTAGCTAAAATCAGATCAGCTATCAAGTCAAACATCTTAAAGTATAGAATCAGAAAGACTTCACCAAAATAAGCAAGAAAATTATGAATCAAGCAAACCCTGGAAACATGCTCCAATTTTAGCAATTGAAGGCATGAGTCAGTGACAAATAAATAATGCAAAACGCTTAGTAGCTTCTTCCCCAGTATGTCCACGTTGTTGCAGGTGTTCCCAAAGCAAAGCAAAGGGTCCCTACAAGATTTATTGGTTTATGAAGTTGAGGATCAAAGACAAAACAGGAAAATGCAAACAGCAGAAGAACAATGCAGACAAGCAGCAACAAAAACTTCAAGAAGCATGACATATGAAGGAGGTAAAATCTCAAAGGTTTCATGAGAAAACCTACCAATTCCTAGCAGTACCACCTAGGCTGGTTTCCTTTCATGAAAGCCTTGAACACGGTCATTAATAGAGAACATCCAAGAAATTCAAAAACATATAAAAACAAGGCACAGGTCAAAGTACATATTACATGCATATTGCAAAAACTCGATGTCTTTATACCTTATGAAAAAAAAAAAAAAAAAAGCTGTAGCATATATAACATTAATATGTATAGATAGTACAAAAGTCCCAATATATTAAACTACCTGGCATGAGTGAAAACCAACAGTGTTTCAACATTGACATGGCACAAACACTCCGAGAATTTTGATTAATTTGTGCTTCATTGGTCAGTATGAATCTTACTCAACATCCCATTTGGAACTCAATAATACCTCATGCATCCCTATAAATTTCCATTTAAAACTCTACTATCATGAATAATCACATTATCCCTAATCTTTATATGTGTGGTTGATGAGATGCAAAGGAAAAGAATTGAAATCTTATCGTTTCTAAAAATATTTAAAAGATTAAATCACAATGCTCTGAAAGGTACAGTAATAAAGACTCTCTCGCTCTTCCTTGAACAGAAAAAAAAAGAGGTTTTCTTCCCCAAATGTTAAGGAAGCTCTCACTAAGAAAAGATAAGACCTTCCAAGATACTCCACTAAAGAACAAATCTTTCCACTAAGGTAACAATAGAATATGATCATAATGGTCTAATAAGTTGATAAAGTTGTCCAACAATCTGGCAAAGATAATTGGTAGAGTTTTGACAAAAAGAGTAACATTGGTTGGTGCAAGAACTGTGAGATGCTAGATGCTTATCCAGCAAGCCATATTTGACATAATTATGTGCACACTTTGTATCATCATATAAGACATAACAAACTGAAATGGCTTTTCTGGTTTTCAAATTCAATTTAGAATCTGTAACATCTTGATAATTGTCACATCTTATTCATATAATTTTCCCATTTTTTCTGCAATTGAAGATAGTACACAATAGATGTAACATCTTGATATCATTGATACATACCGGTGTAAGCGAAACCTTGATCCTTGAGGTGAATACTGCATGCAATTTGATGCACAAAGCAAGTACTGTTCCTTCTTGATTATGTTTACAATTATGCCACATAACATGTTTGAGAATTTTGTAGTTAAACATTGCAAACTGCAACTACCATAACAATTACACTTTGTTAGATACTAAACCAGACAACAAACAAACTACAGGTTTGGATTACTACAAGAGAAACTTAAAAGATCCAACCCACAGAAACAATAAAGCACAATAGACTTGAGAAAAAAAAATACACATATAAACAAACTTCATTCAAAAAAAGGATACCTGATGAAAGGAGTAGGATGGGTGAACTACCATCTTACAATATTGCACCATTGATTAAGCTTTAAAGGCAAGTCACGGTGCCCCTTTGTCCACTTTGAAAAATAAGGATACGTAACAGTCTCACTTGTGGGACGTATTGCTATAGGAACTTCCAGTTCAGACTGTCCAGACTGAGTAACCCAAGCAACCTAACGACAATCACGAATGACATAAGTTTTAGGACATGGTATTATGTTGACATGAACAAATATCTTAGTGTCTTCAAGAACAAAAGTAACAAAAGGAAGGATAAAGCCTCTGTAAAAGTAGACATCAACATCGCAGCTGAGCTGTGATAACAATCCTTACATAAATATCCACCAACAGAAACAAACCATATCAGATGACAACAGGCACTAAGAGATTATTCCAATAGTAGTACAAGATACCCCAACTCTTAATTGTAACAATCACAAAGGCATTTATTCTATCAGCCCAATGGAGCAACTCTGAAGGACCAACCTGTGCTTAAGCAGATAACACAATGGAAGCAGGATCTTCATAGACTGGGGTCAAGCCTGGGCCAAAAAACCGAAACCCCAACTAAATTATGGTTATTATGGGTTCAGAGAGATTAAATTACACAACCAAAGTCAGTCTGTCTCTAATATTCTTCTAAATGAAAAATAAACTTTTGAAGTAGAACTCTAGATGCTTTTCTCCCCTCCTAGCACAACCCTTAGTCCAACCATCTCTCTCGTGACACATTCTTTTAAGTTTTAACAACCTGCCTCTGCAAGTTTCCCTAACAAGCAAATTGGTATCGTAGTGGTGGCGTGGTTTGGTATTCCTTCAAGTTTCCCTAGTCATTATTTTCCAGAATTGGCATCGATCTTATCCCATATATCTCAATTAATCAGGCACTCATCCCTCACTCAGACAACTCCATAACAATGACATCATCATCCAAGATATCAGGGTCACCCTTCACAAACTCCCTCAAGCTGTTAAAATGAACCAATAGTCAGAAAATAATAAAAATAGAAGCAAAGGGGATAGAGTTTTTTCTTAACTAGATCTCGGTTGCAAAACTTCCCAAAACTGCCCCCATAGCCAATTTCTTCTCCAAGATAGATGTTGCCTGTTGAAAGTCTGTTTCATGGTATATTGGCCATACCAGGAGGTAATTAGATGTCCAAGCAAAGACCAGTAATGAACCATTAAATTTTGGGTGGTATAATATGAACTGCCCAAACTTCTTATTGACAGAAATTCAGCAATTATTGATTTGAAAATGATCAAAATACATCATGCCAAAAAAATTTCCAAATCTACTGGTTCTAGTACACTATTGACCTGCCTGCCATAAATAGCAGAACAGCTATTGATGAGGCTCTAATTGCAAGATGAAGAAGGGGAGGAGAAGTTGTTTGTACCTTTTCTTTTACTCTTTTTTCATTTCTTCAGGCAGCACAATGTTAATACTAACCAATATACTACCCATACTGGCAAACCATACAATTCTGACAATGAATCAGTAGAAGCTGCAGTGCGGGTAAGGGGATCATTGTGTCCTACATCCTCTCATGATGATGGCCAGACAACAACCAAAAGTCTCTTGAAATAAAATCTTACAGTGTTGCACTATTCAAAACATACCACCTAATGTTTATGTGCAATTACAAGACTATTGGACTCAGATATAAAGCAGAGATTAAAATTGTGAACAAATAAATATCCAGACAACAACCAAGTAAATACCCAAGGAAAAGAATCCTATAGCATTTGATTTATTATTCTTCTACCTTTATAAAACTGAATTATGCTCTATAAAAGGAAGTAAATAGCTATCAAAAAATTATACAAAGATTCCAATGATCTCATAAGCAACTGTATTATGTTAGTAAATTAAAATAAAAAAACTATTTCAACGTGATGTAATGGGGGCCTCTCTTTCCAGATATCATACCAGGAAGGTATTGCCCAAAAAAGGTACCACACTGATGCATAGATAGAACAACAAGTCATGAGGCAGTTGCAACAAGCCTAAGTAGTTTTAAGTTCTGACGGGGAATTCTCAGGTTTACAAGTACAAGAAAAAAGAGAAACAAAGTAATTGTTTACTGTAGTTCAGAGTTCAGATATTTTTTAGCATTATGCAAGGACATATATAAAAATATGTTGAGAGAAATGTCTTATCTCTGTCAACAAAAAAGAAATGCAGAGATAGCAATTTCAACTCGAAGGAATAGCTAACCTCAGGAGCAAAACCTTCTATATGATCCTTCTCCTTCTCCAGAACGTTCTTAGTTACGAATAGAGGAAAATAAGCATTTTTTATGTTCATCTTTTTTATTTTCGCGTCAAAAAAGGTCTGCACAGGCAAAGAGTTGAATTTTGAAAACATATACAATTACACATGACTTCCTAAATAATTAACAGCTTAAAAATCAGTCTAAAGTACATTAAATGCATAAAGATGATCTTTGCAGCACATATTTTTCATGCATATAAAGAACAATCAGAATACATTAATGATCAAATTTCAGATACTTCAGTCCAGTACTGAAGCGCCTTGAAACATCAAGTTGGGAAGGAGTCACAACTCATAGTATAATTCCAGCAAACTTCTTGTTAAAAATAACTGGAAGATAAGAATTGACGACAATCGCTTGGAAAGATAGAACAATGAATTATTCCAGCACCTGGAGGATAACTAAAATGACCAAAATCTACACCATGCGCTTAGACAAAAACCAAATCAAAACGCTTACCTGTAAGGTTTCCCAAATTGCCATTGTCCACGGCCTCAGGATATAGCACCCAGATATGCCATAGAATTCAATCATTTCACAATTAACAACAACCTGGCAAGCATGCAAAATCATTGACTGACATAGACGTTATACAAACGTCACGTCACAAGATGAATTAGCCAACTCAAATGCTTCTAGCTCAACCCATAAATCACAGCATAAAACCCAACAGGAGTCCATGTCTCAACTCGGAATACCATTCTCCGAAATTCTCATCCTTTGTGGGTCAACCCAAGTCCAGTTTCCTTCTTCACTTCCTCCTTCCTCGCTAATATACATGTCATAAAAAAAACACGCATGAGAACGTTCAAAATACGTCTACAAATTCATATTCCCACGATCGGTCTCGATTCAAATAACAGCAACAGAATACCACTAACACGCACCGTTTTTGGAACTAGAGTTCACAGCCGCCATGATTTCCGAGTTCACAGCGGTCGCTCGAGAACGGGAGCGAGGGAGGAAGGGGAAAGAAGAATTTAGGGATGAGATGTTTAAAGGGAGCTTTTGCGCTCGAGAACGAGGAGGAGGGAGAAAGGGGTCGAGAAGAATTTGGGGATGATATGTTTAAAGGGCGCTTTTATATAGGCTAACCTTTGGATCGGAATCTAACGGACGGGGAATAAAGTCGATTCAATAAAACGCGACCGCCTTTGTGAACGCCTTTACCGAAAAGGAAACGAGATTAAACGTGTAATATTGATTTAAAAATAATTATTTTCTGTTTTTATTTAAAATGTCACAATCTAAAAATAAATATTATATATACTTCCAAGTTCACACATTATATATATATATATATATATTTATATGTAAATTTATGTTTATATATATATATATAACCAAAAACTTATAAAAATGTCGTTATAGTTACTAAATAATCTTTAATAATTAATTATTATTTTTTATTTTTATTATATATATATTTTAAATAATAATAATAATAATAATAAAACAATAAGTCTCAACAATTTGATATATATATATATAGTTACATCGATTTTTATCATCATTAAGATCTATAAATAATGATATCTTAAGTAAGTTCAAAGTACTTAAAGATCTTTATTTATCTTTCTCTATCCCTTACTAATATTAACTATTTATAAGTACATGCTCATATTATATTAAATTAGTATTTTTAATTAAAATAATATATTATTATTAACGAATAAAAATATTTCTTTTCATATCTTTCCTAATAGTTCTGTACATTCAGCTCAATATTCTTATCTCAATAATATTATATATATATATATATTATCTAATACTTAGATTCATAAAATATTATTGATTTCATATCTTATAAATTATAAATAATAATATATTTTAAAAAATTTAATAATCGACATAAAGTTTCATAATATCCATATTAACCAACCTACCTAGTTAAGACTAACCGTTTAGTAACAAAGTTTTATGTATGAGATATCATCTTGGATTACTTTCCATTTGTAACAAAAATAAGAATGTTTTTGGTATTTTGCATTTAAATTTTAAATTAAATTTGGTAATTATTAATACTATCAATAGTGGTTATACTAACTTTTTTTAAATGGGTGCTGATAATAAGAAGACTTGTGAGAGTAATATTATAAATATGAAGATTTTATTTTCCAAATTAGTTAAGGAAGACGAACAACAAAGCTATAAATGGGATCGGCTACGTATCAAATCAAAGCTATATTATTGGGTGGAGTGGCGATTGTCATTTTCTATAAAATATATATGTGTTTATATCCCATAAAAACAATATCCTCTGATCATTTTTTACTATGACAAGCTAAAATTGAAAGTAGTCATTAGGAGGGGAAAAAGAAAATGGTAAATTTTAATCTGAGATCAAACCCCGTAGAGAAGGAGTTGGTAAAATAAATTCAGTAGAAAAACTTAACCAAATCTTTGTTTATATTCCATAGAAACAAATCCCATTGGTGATGAAAAAGAACAAATGACAAAATATTCATGACCAAATATCAATTTGAGATCAAACCCCACATAGAAGTAGTAAAACTCAATTAGATCATTGTTTAAATCCCTTGAAACTCTGGTCATTTTTTCAATCAAGTCCATTGCTTTTCATATATTTGAAAACAATGAGAAACTCCTTCATCGGTTTTCATAATCACTGCAATTGCAATAGATAGCTTCACCGAAAGCATTAACAGCTTTGGGAACTGATGTGCCATGTTGCTCTCTCTTCTATCTTAGCCTTCACAAACTAATCCAAGGAAACAAACATGCTTGCCATTAACCCATGTTGCTACTCTGCACAGGTTGGATTGGATTTTACTGCTCCCAAGTAGTTATAACCATAGACATTGGGCTTGCCAATAACCCAAGCCCATGTTTTATTCGGTTTAAAGATTTATATTAGATTTTTCGTAGTTATAAAAATGAAACATCGAGATTCGGTTATCCTAACATCCTCCGTTTTACTGACGAAAATAAAAGATAAAAATATAATTTTAGTGATTTAATTGGTGGTGATCGATGACATCGGTGCCATTGAGGGTCATGAGTGACTGTTGTGGATGAAAAGAATAACGATGAGAGATGAGGGTCGCTCTGTATATGCGTTAACATAGTCTGCCACCACTGATGTCACTCGACAATTGTGTCAACACCGATGAAAATGTAAAGCACCATTGCTCACAAACTGCATAAACGCTGACACATATATAGAATAGTGAAATGATCTTTTCGGGTGGCTATTATACATGAAAAGAGCGATGACGAGAGATAAGGATCGCTTTATAGTTACATTGACATTGACGTAATTGTCAAGCAACCTTCACCTCTCGCTATCACTCTCCTTATCTATAATAATCACTCAAGTAACTCTTTTATTGCTCTATATGTGCGTCAACATCAACACAATTTATCAACCAATGAAAGTAGTACCAATATAGATGTAGAGTAATATCACTTGACAACTATATCGATATCGATGAAGATACATAACAGTTTTTACTTTTCACCGTCAATATTCTCATCCATAACAGTCAACCCTATGGCCCCAACAACGTTGTCATTTGTCATTATCGATGCTATTTGACATCACTAACTGGAATATTAAAATTATATATATTTATATTTTTAATAATAAAATTAGATAAATTAAGTTATATATTTTATTTTTATAATTATAATAATTTCAATATAAATTTTTAAGTAGTTAGTTCAGTTTGGAGACATCGAAATGATTCGACCCATGGTTGACCCAAATCACCGACATATTGGCTCGGGCAACGAGTTCAATTCCCATTGGTCACGGATACTATGGTTTCTCTCACCTCTCAAAGTCATCATCCGCCCGCCATTCTCAATCCAACTGTTCCACCTCGTCAAATCGATGGACCAAAGTATCTCCTTCGACTATTTAACATGATCAATATCTACATTCTAAAAAATCATTATTATACAAATTTAAATTAATGCTGATCATGATAAGTAATATTTGACTTTTAATATTTGCAAGGACTTAAGTATTTGGTAATATATTATTAAAATATGTAATTTTGAATATGATATTTCCAAACTATGTAAGGATATAAATGTAAAAGGACCATGAGAAAGGCCAAGAAAAAAAAAGGGAGAGAAAATAAAAAAAATTTCTCTGTCTCACTTTAAACTCGAGTGAGGCCCTGCGCAATTCCAATTCCCCACTTTCGGCTTACGCCGCCTCTTTGCGTCGTCGAGGGTGCCTCTCCCTCCCTCCTTCGGCGATCGTCTTAGGTAACGAAGATCTGAACCGATGCTTTTGCGTTTCTTCATCCTGTTTTTAATCGGATCCGTGCTTAGGATATAGGGGATCACTTTTCTTGGGGTCTCTTTTCGTGGTTCGGCGATTCGGATTGTTGGGAACTTCTAGTCTTGTTGATGATTACAATCTTCGATGCTAGTCTCGGCGATGTGGAGTTATGGCATAGGCGGATGAACGTGTAGAGATCGTTGATGTGCTTATGGGGGTGTTAGGGTTTTCTGTCTTTGTGGTTTTGATTTGTTCAGATGCATAAAACATCGTGTAATTTAGGAGTTCGTTTTGTGGAAATGAAAGATAGGGATGATTCGCTGGGACGGATGGAGATTTTTGTCTCAGCTTGGGTACGTACCGAGCATGAGCTGAGGAATTTCTTTGAAATAAATAGAGAAAAGCATGAGGAGGTGGATTGTGGAAGTGCTTATGTTGCTTACTTCCTCACCGACGTTTTCAAGCAACCGGTTCCAGGGCCTAGTATGTTTCTTGTATGGGCGCGCTAGCCATGACAGTTGATGGAGGAACATTTTAGTTAGGATCTGTATTGCGTGTAGCTGTATGGTGATCTAGGCTTAAGTTTTCCTTTTCTCCTTGAATAAATGGGTGGTCTATGTGCACGTGTATATATAGAGTAGGAAAACAAACATCAAGCTGTTAATAATAACTTGATATTGCATTTATGCAGCATATTGCTGAGAAATGATCATTCATAAATATATATAGTACGATTATTGAGGTTTTTACATACTTATGCTAAATTATTCTGATGTATCTGATAATTGATGGGTAATGAATATGCCATTGGAGTTTTTGAGGGAATCTTCGATGCATGAACCCTGCTGTTATCTTGCTAAGGAGATATGTGCTCCTTGCACAACCAGACAATTTTGTCTTAAAATAACTTGTACGAACTGTGAAATATGTTAAGAAAAAGAGGTGCATTTTGGGATGAATTTATCTGTCTAATAGGTACTGGTATAATGTTTGGAATATGATGGAACTACAAGATTTATAAAACTCAACCTACTGACAATGCTTTTTCTTTGCCAGTGTTTTGAATTATACAAGCTAATATGATGTATGAATTGTTAGAAAATGTGTTATTTAAAAGTGTCATCTTACCGTCTCAAAGGTGAAAGTTCTGGTATGGGAAACTGTATTATCTTTTATCAAGGCATTAGGAGTAGCAGGGTTAACAAAAGTCACGTTCTCCATTATGAGACTTGTTCCACCATTAGTTTTCATTGTTGTACTTAAACCTCTAGGATTTTGTTTCTAAGCTGCAGTTTATAAGTTTTCCCTTTCTTTTGTAATGCATCTTGTTGTGAGAAACATTCATGATCAGTAGGTCATTTAATGATCTTGTAAATTCGTTTTGCATTTTTAGATTTGCAAATATATTACCGAATGTGATTCACAGTAGAATTATGTGCTTCTGACATAGCTCTTGATTGAATCCTTGATTTATGTTTACTACTTTTCCTGAACAAACTATTCACTTTGGCTGGTCTAATGCCTTTTCAACTTCATGTGATGCCCCCCCTTCTTGTCCCTTACACTTTTACCTTGAAATTCTTAGGGCAAATCGGGCAACGTTTCTGTGTAATTCTTCTTGCATGTTATCGCATGAGTACCCATGTTGTGCTTTGCATGTATCCAAATTTGGTTTGTGTCGATATTTTGCTGACACGGTATTTGTCATTGCTTTGGCTTGGAACAAACATATGCTGGCTGGCAGAAACCTTGTATAGGTTGGCATAAATGTTGCGCCCATATTTTGGTTAGGAGTTATCAAACAAGCTTATGCATGGTTGGACATTCTTGTTATATTAGTTGAGTCCTACTGGAATTTAATAATAAATTAATATTTTTAAAAGCATTAGGCGTCAAGATCCTAAAATGCCCGAGGCGTTAGGCACTCGTTTGAGTGAAGTGATGTGCTTCAGAATATTAAAATATAAAAAATATCATTATTGATAAATATGTTCATAAAAATAAAAAGTATCAAATTGAAATCATATAGCCGATTTGAAATGACTGTATTAGCCTTAAGATGAGAAGCGATATAAAGTTTACCTAAATAGGTTGATTCCATGTCAATGTACATATAGTCATGTCTTAATTTGACCATTCAAAATCTTCCATATGACATTAGATCAAGCGAATCCAGATATGAGTTGAGCTCCAATAGTATTTGCACATTTGTATTCAATTTTATATATATATATATATATATATATATATATATATATATATATATATATATATATATATATATATATGTATACTATTCATAATGATGTGATTCTTTGATCACTACACTTGAGTTGACTTGTAATTTGAGCTCAATCCCATTCGATAGGATGATTCTTGACCCAAATCTAGAATTGGGTGAGTCATTGGTGTCTTGGTGCAACGGAATTGGAACCAAGTGTGTTACTTACTGTGATTTAATACTTAGTGCGCTACTTATTGCATGTATATTCACATTTGTCCATCACACATCGTGATTTGGGCGTGAGAAAAGGTCGTTCGTGAAAGAGAGAGAGAGAGAGAGAGAGAGAGCAAAAGGGATCGGCTTCTATCATCCCCCAATTCCCCTTCCTTCAAAACTCTAACTCTTTGTCTTCCGACGATCGATCACGTCTTTTGCCCTCACATCTACCATCGGGCACTGATCGATTCCATTGTATTCGCCTTTAGGTCAGTGCCCTCCTTGCCTGGGCCCCTTTCTATTTCAATCTCTTGTGTTACACTAGCGCTTGGGCTCAGGTGAGCGCCCAAGCGGCACTTCGGTGAATCACATCGCTTTGTCATATTCGTTGGTATGTGTTGTGTTGACATAATACCAGCACTCAACATTTCTTCATGCTGCTAAATTTACGACATGCTGCTTTGTCATCTTTACATTAGTAGATACAGGATAAGGATACTGTAGTTCCAGCTATAGCAGAATGAATCGGTTTCACACTAATCCATGTTGGTAAATAATAAGAGTCTCTTTCAATTCTTTTAATGCCTAGCAGTGTAGTAACTCTTTATTGTGTTCATATAGCATCCTTGATGTCGTGTATATTAATATATTGATGCTGCTTTTAATGACATCTATTATATAGTTCTTCTGAGGGGAGTATGGGGACAAATGATCCATCTGAAGCAACTACGTCGTGTATAGATGTTGCACAAGATTCTGAGAGCACCGTTGAGATAAAAATTAAAACATTGGATTCTCAAACATACACTTTGCGAGTAGACAAGTCTGTAAGTGCTTCGTTTTTGTTCATGAAGTTTATTGCAGGTTATTATATTTCTTTATTCCTTTTCCTCAATATTTTGTTCAATTGCTTGTTAATATGTTTATTGATCTTGCAATTACTATTATATTTTTCTTACATCTAAAGACACAAATTATCTCATTACTTCACATGAGATTTCCAACTCTTATTTCCTTGGAAATGGTGCTTTTATCATGAAATTAATTTTCCAAGCCTTTTTTTTTTTGTGTTTGTATAAATTGCTCACTTAAAACATAACATCTAAAAGTCACATAGTCTTTAAACACCCTGCATGGTGTCCTCTATCCTTATTCGTGGGTTGCATATACATACATACAGTCCATGTATGTGTTTGTGACTCTGTGTTTTTGTGTGTTAGTATCATTTGTTAAATATATGCGTTCATTTACACAAGTAAACCTAAATACTGTGCAAAAGATGGGAGTTAATTTTGGGATTGGCTTCAAGATTTGAGATTGCATGGGATAGCTATAATTTGATTTTGACATAAGAGCTTTTTGAAATCGTTTACAGAGTGTTGTGAGAAGCCCAAAATTTGTGGAAGTCAACTAGGATCCAAAGGGCAGCCTGATGCACGAAGGTCTCACCTAGGATGATCAGCAGGGAAGAGAGAGAGAGAGAGAGAAGGGGAGGGGGGGGGGG